GAAAAAATCATACATTCTGGGTACAGCTGCTCTGCTGTTTCCAGGGAACTAGCACACTCACCAAACAGTTATTCATATTGCCTTCCCTGCAGATTAATGGCTCATCAGAGAAAAATCTAAAGCAAATGGGAGAGGAAACAATTGTGGAAGAAATGTCACTCTTTGAAGTTGAAGGGTGATTTAATTGTTAAGAGGTTTTTAAGAACTACGCATTACTCAAAGTAATGAGGTTCACTTATCAATAGTGAACTTTGTCCTTTTGAATGGTGGCTCTAATTCATTGCTTGTAAATCAAATGTGTTTCCACGTGAGCGCTATCCAGAGGCAGGTCTTCTGTATTCTGCTATGGAAAGTTGGATGACTTTTGAGTTAAACCCTAACGGAAAAGACAAATTGATTTAGAAGAGGGTTTACATTACATTTTCAATTTAACTTCTATTTTTGAAAGTGGTATGTGAAACTCAATGAAAGCTGGCTGGAACAATCTATAAGATGAAATACAGTTTCATTTCATTATGATTAATTTTTCAGTTATCATCATTGGCTAATTTGTATTATAATTATATTTGAATTGGATGATGATTTGCTTTTCAGAAAGCAAATGGAAAAGGGCTAAGGAAACGTAGGAAAATTACTGAATTCAGGCATTGGTTCTTTGGCCTCGTGTGTGGAAAAAAGTGGAAATCAACCCCTGTGGATGTTCAAATCATGAGAAATGCACCTGTCTAAATTACTTCCCACAGCAGAGCATGGGGGTGCAGGCAAGCAGGCACGAGAAGAATGCCTTTTGATCTCCTGTTAATACTCTTTATAATCACAGTGGAAATGCTGAGTACCAAAATTTAAAAAACTGATGAATTTTGTATGTTTAAATTTATGATTAAAAGAATTGTTATTCCTTATTCCTATACTGGTACTATGCTGAGGAGAATGGGATAGAAAGGAAAACTATTGAGAAGAAATCAAAGGAATAAAGACGAAGGCACAGCATCAGTGTAGAAGATGACTGCTTTGAAATGATTGCCAGAAATTCTGTTATTAGAGGTAAAAGCAATATCCTGAGCACTGGCATATAGTCCAGAATCATGAGATCAAATTATTATTGAAAACAAAATCGCTTCGTTAGAAAGCTTGAATAAGTCAAAGCATCATAAAACACACATTTGTAAGTCTTGGGGGAGAGGGAGCGCAGGCACTCAGGGAGGGAGGGGGCCTTGCTGGAGTGGAAGCTGACCCAGGTTTGGGGACAAGCAGTGACACAGTGGCAGACGGTCTGCTGGGGCTGCCACCATTGCCTTCCCTTCTGAGGGACAGCAGTCTTTCCTGGAGAGAGGCTACAGGCTTGTCTTATGACATCTTTCCTTTCTTCTCTCTCTTTTCTCTTCCATCCTAGATACTGTAAAAAGAGTCTCCCTCCCAAACTCATTCTAATGAAACCAAGACAAATAATCTCTTCCCATAGTTTTGATGTCTGGAATTTCCTGAATTGGGGACAAAACCTGTAATTCAATATATTAGACCAAACCAAATGCCTTGCTGGGTGATACTTGGATTGAACCTCATTCATAGGAAAATGTGAACTTTTCACTAAGAAGCATACAGGGTGGGGCAAAAGTAGGTTTTACCAGTGTTTGTATGGGAAATAATACAATAACTGATAAATAATAATGCAAGAAGAAACTGTGCGTTTTGTGTACTCACACTGTAAACATACTTTTGCCCCACCTTTTATATTGAGAACCATTTCCTTTTGTAACATGATGGAGGAGAGGAGATAGTGGTGAGCATCCCACCTGTGTTTCGGATGGAAAGGATGTGATGAGAAACTTTGGTCAACTTCTTAATTCTCTGAGGGTCAGTATGTAGCCTTTTTCACTACCTAAAGGATGGTTTGCTGTGCATGGCCACAGACCCATACAATAAACCATCAAGCAGTCCTACACAGCATCACCATGTCCAACAAGTTTGACCAGCTTCACTTTTACTACGCATGTATTTATTTCGATGGCACCTCATTGCCAAGTGAAGGCAAGTGTGAGGGTTCCTTGCCACACTGATTAAGCATACCTTCCAAATATGTGTCTCTCTAGGCCCCATAGAAGAATAGCAGTAAGAAGGAAAAAGGAAGAAATGGGAAAAAAATAAAGAGTAGTAGAGGAATTAGAATCAGAGGAGATTTAGAAAGCATCAGGACTTAGGCATATCTCCAGATATTCCAGTTTAATTGATTTGGGCACGGCCTAGTCTTTGACTCTCCAGGAGATTCTGTGTACCCGACTAGGTCTGGACCCCAGAGCCCCAGGATGTGACATAGCCTGCTGGTGGGATGCTTGGCTGGTGGGCTGCTCCGCTGGTTGCACATCTTGTTTCAAAACCTGCGTGGCCACTTGGCAGCCTGCCAATTAAATCATAGGGTGCAGTCCGATTGTTTCTTTTTTTTGTAATCTGATATTTTGCCCAGCCAAAATTCCATTTTAAAAAATTTCAAGGGTTATAGGTCTGATAAGCTTTACTGTCATGAGTATATCATATTCTCACCATTCTTGGGTGACATGTAGCAGCTGGAATACCTAACCCTCCTGTCTTTTTCAGAAAATAAGTATATCTGTGTGTTTGACAATAATATAAACTTCATATTTATCAGTATTCTTATCAAACTGTCTGACATATAAGAAGCTCATTGAAGTGGTTTATTTTTTCAATCTTCGCCATTGGATTGAGTCGTCTCTCTTCTTCCCTTGAATTCCATATTTTTTTGTCACTAACAGAATGTCGCAATGCCATTGCCTGCAAATAACACCTGATGTGACACATGCAGAAACCATAATTTTTTTTGAGGATTGTTTCTGTAATTGAGAACTTAGCGTTCACTCGACTTAGTGCTGTTAGCCATTAATTAGAACTCGGGAGTATCTTCTAGTTAATATCTCATTTATATTTTAAAAAGTACTTTTACAGATTCTTTTCAGGACATGAATTAAATCTTGCAAAAGTCTTTATTGTAATTTTGCTAGTATTTTTTTCTAGCCTTCAGGGCTTGACAGTGTTAAAACAGTTGATTAAAATCCATGGGAATACATGGTTAGTGATTGAGGCTCCTTTTGTTGGTAGCTCAGAAATGCCTTTGTGAATGTATTTTTGCTTCAAACACAATTCTCTTTTTATTATTTTCTCACAGTGAAATCATTAGCCTGTGTTTGTGGAGTTGATGTCTGTTGTCATGGAAATGTCACAAATGCAGTGCTGTAGAAAGTAGGGAGAAAAATAGGCTGAGAAGCACAATCTTTGGGAAGACTGGAAGCTAAAATCATTGTTTGTGAATAACTCCAGTGTTAATTTGGAAGGTAACTCCCACAGTCTACTAACTTTGTGTTAGGTATATTTTGGCGAGGTTATTAATGCAGTTTTTAGCTCATTTAAAGTCAGAATCAATCATAAGTACAATTATTTTACAACGGCTGTCCCTAACACAATTTAGCAAATTTAGGAGGAGAGACACACATGAAAAGAGGCTGTACATCAACAAACATATGCTGCACATGTAAGCTTAGAGTTGTGGGGATAGCAATGATTAAAAAAACAAGCAAGCAAACCAAAAACACCTGAACTAAACCAAACTAAAGAAAAAGTTTGTTTATATGCCTGGAAGTAGAGAAAATATAAAGGTGCATGGTCATTTAACTAGCAAATAAAGGTAAAGAAGACTTTTAGATGAAATTATCCTCAAGTACTGAGGGGAAAGAAGTCAGCATGTTCTTGAAAATAAGTATTCTTGCTTAAAGTGAAATATGTAACTAATTTCCCTCTAGAGATGAAATGTTTTGTCAGCCGTTAAAGTTATTTAGAAAGGAGTTAGAATTTTCCAGTTGCACTTGGGGTCTGGTAGGATGCCCAGCTTCTGTTTTGTTTATTTTCCCCTCTAAAATGTACCATATATGATAGGTTTTTGTTCATCTAGATTTCTTTTTCATTCATTGTTATCTTTGCTTTTTGTGTTGAAACTTAATTGTTTAAGTATATTTTTGATGTATTCACTTTTATTCTTTGGTTGAAGTAAAATAATAGCCTTCAAAATTCTTGTAACAACATCACATATCATTTTCTGGAATATACAATTATTGGTAAAATGTATGCTGTAGAAGCAGATAGTTTTATGTTTATGTCATACTGTGGCACGAACCCTAGTAAAGGTAGCCAATATAAAGTGACCTGTATATTTAACTTACATTTAAATTATGGAAAGTGAGGGTTTTATTGGACGACATCTGTGCCTCCTATTAAGTTGAGGTTTCCATATTTTTCCATTTGGGTTGTATTTTTTTTAATGAAAGAACCAAAATTTAGTAGCAGACATTTTCGATCAGCGAGAACAAGTGGTGTGTTTTATTTTGATGACTAATGCTTTGAGGTTTTCCAGAAGAATTGGTGGTTTTTAGTTTCATTAGGGGTAAGCTGTATTGAAAGTTTGCACTTTTACTTTTTTAACTGCCTGAACAAATAGTTTCCACCAAAAATGATTGTTGGAATTAAAATTTGTAGGTGATATAAAATGGTTGAAGTTATTGTAAATCATACATTGAAACTGAGCTTATTTAAATTGGATCAGAGAGGAAAAGATGATGGTAAAGAAATAAAGATCTTTGTAAACAAAGGGCTATGTCATAAAGTGGACTAAAATGTGGCAAGATTTTGGAATCTAGATGCAGTTTTCCTTTGAAAAACATTCTGTTAGGCATATACTCCATATTTGGATGTCATTCTTGTCCTGAAAGATCTTATTTTCTGACTGGACAGATGGGGTGGGGCTGATAGGTGGGAATCAGATATAATTCTAAAGTTTTATTCCATCAGTCTGTCCCACTGACCGAACAAGACAGTTGGCTCAGAAAGGGGAAAAGCAACTTCAGAGTTCAGCAAGTTAGGATGTCTCTATTAGGATGAAGGAATATTTACATGTCTAGTAGCCATTAAAAATGATTCCCCTTGAATTTCTGTTCTAGAACGCGGTTCACCTCGGGATTTGATCACCAAGGACATCACTGACACATCCATTGGGGCTTATTGGACATCCGCTCCAGGAATGGTTCGCGGTTACAGGGTCTCATGGAAATCACTTTATGATGATGTTGAAGCTGGAGAGAAAAGGGTTCCTGAAGATGCAATTCATACTGTGATAGAAAATCTGCAGCCAGAGACCAAATACAAACTTTCGGTATTTGCAGTTTACAGCAGTGGAGAAGGAGAACCTTTGAATGGAGAAGCCACAACTGAATGTAGGTAACATCACAAAATATTTATGTGTGTGTGTTGGTGCTACCTAATAGCTACCAGCTCAAGCAACATGACGTTGAGTCACTTGCATTTTTTTCTTTGTATTATCATTGAAAACTAAGCAATTAGGGCTTTAAAGGACATGGGTTAGCCCTGGCTGGCATGGCTCAGTGGATTGAGTGCTGGACTGTGAAACAAAGGATTGCAGGTTCAATTCCCAATCAGAGCATATGCTTGGGTAGCAGGTCGGGTCCCCAGTAGGGAGCACACAAGAGGCAACCACACGCTGATGTTTCTCTCCCTCCCCTCTCTCTAAAAATAAATAAAATAATTAAAAAAGAACATGGTTTAGCCCTGGCCAGTGTAACTCAGTGGGTTGGTGTGTAATTTCATACACCAAAAGGCTGGGGATTTGATAGCTGGTCAGGGCACATACATACCTAGGTTACAATCCCGGGGCGCATATGGGAGGCAACCAATAGATTTTCTCTCTCACATCGATGTTTCTCTTTATCTCTCCCTTCCTCTCTAAAATCAGTAAATATTAAAATAAAGGGATGTGGTTTAAATTCAGGTGTATTTAATATTGAAAATTTATATAAAACTTTGAAATATTGAATTTCTTCTAACTACCCATATTTCTTTCTTCCCACCCCCAGCCTTCTCTCCTTTCTCTCTCCTGGTGGAATGATCAGCTAGATAAATTCAACTAGTAAAAAGAGCAGGCGCTATGGAGACAAAAAGAATTTGAACACATTTATAGCTCTATGACCTTGGGCAAGTTACTTAATCTTCTTCGAGCTTCAATGTTCCAATCTGTAGAATATGGTCTCTTAAGAGTTGTCCAGAGAATTGAATGAAACAGTAATATGCACAGCACCAAGCAAAGTGCCTGGCCACTAGAGACGATTGGGAAATGATAGTAGCTATTGAGACTGTGGTTAGTACACACCCCAGAAAAATGCTAGATTCTTTACTTCATTTCTACTGTAGTCAGTAAGGTTAAATCAGTAGTCCACTTAGTTGTCTGGCAGCTTCGATTTACCCTGATCTCGTTAGTATTCTTTCTTACGAATAATTTTGAATGATTTACCATCATTTATTATCAGCTGGCTGGTAAAATATGTATTCACATTTCTTAATTCTCTTTCCTAAAGAGTCATTTGTTAGTCATGGGCATTTCTCAAAATTTATTGGAGAAAAGTTTATTTCTTTTGTTTTGGGAAAATTTTAGAATAAGAAGAAATGATAGGAAATTCTTGCATTTCTCTTTATTAGAAAGAAGTAGAGAAATGGGATGTTTTTTTTCTGGCTAAGAGCAATTTCAATTAAGTCTTGTATCTTGATTTTAAAGTTATTCTTAAATAGAAATCTTTCGGTTTGAGTTGTCTGAAGAAATCATTTTTTCTTTTTTTAATCACTGGCAGACCAGTTGGCTATGTCTAACCTTAAATTTGTGTCAAAATTAATAATATTTAAAAAATCAAACTCCTTTTAGAAAATTTAAATAGACAACTGTATTTCTCAGATATTCACATGATTGGTTTACATAGTAGTAAATGAAATCTTGTGTTTGAATATATTGGCTGATAAGAACTGGCAGAAATTCATTTCTATTTCTAGAAGAAATTCATTTGTTGTAAGGAGAAGTCATATTGTAAACTTAGTCCAGATATGACACATAAAGCTAAATTTATCTGTAGTAATAAAAATACAATTCATGTGGATGAGAAGTTATTCAAGTAGATGTATTTAGAGGGAGGAAAATTTAAAAAAACCAAAAAACCTCTCCTCTACTGTGCCTTTGTCCCAAAAGACGGAGTTTTCAGTTTTTAGTTAGACTGAAAATCTCAACAAGGAACATAGTTTAGCAAAAAGCAAATGTGGTAACAGAAGTCCTAAATCACCTTTCACCTCCAAGAAAGTGAGCATCTAAGAAAATTTCAGTTTTTCTTGGCTAATCGATTGATTTAAAGGTGAGGGAAGAGAAAGATCTCTTTTGAACTGAAGAGCAGACTAGGCAGGTGTGAAACACATATTTTGTAGTGTACATGCAAACCGCTCACATGTCTGAGCACATATGAAAGAAGCTGGGCATTTTCATTTGTTCTCCTAGCATTTTGTTGTTGTTTTACTTTGCTGTCTGTGTGGAAAGTAAAGCAGTTCAGGAAGCTCTTTGACAAATCTGAGCCAGGTGTGGTTTTAGGTGGTGGATGAAGCCCTACAAGTGGATACCTGGGCAGTCAGTAGGTCATGCTCATGGAGTTTCTAATCGTCTTCTAAGGGGACATTTTGGAAGTAATGTTAGGATTGCTTTCGACTCAGGGACATGGCGTGCTGCTGCGGATAGAATGAGAATGGGGAATTGCGTCCAGAAGCTAGTGGGTGGGAGGCTTTCCGTTGGCTCTGTCATTACCAGCAGCTGGGTTAGCAGAGCACAGCCACTGTGGGAAATCTCCTTCTGAGAGGCACTAACACATGAAAAGAGCTGACAGTGTTGCAGAATTTTATATCACGTGGCATACCTGCCGATGAAGTAAAACATTAGCCTTTTGGGGATGCCAACAAAACTTTTTAAATTTCTCCCTAAAATCCAGAGTTTTCTATTAAAACTAGGATGAAGTACATTGTACTCTGTTTAATTCCTTTATTATAAAGAGTTCATTAAAAGGTAGGAATATAATTAAGATCTTCGAAGCATTTCAAGGTGTGAAGTACAACATTTGACTGTTATTCACATATTTCATTTAGGAAATATTTTAGAGTTTGGGATTTCATTTTTGGGGGGACATAGGTTTCTTTTTAGACTAATACTTATAAGATTTAAAAGTTCATTTCCCTCAATTCTGAACTATGTAAAATTTGTCTGAGAATTTTTTGTAAAAATATTGTGTTCTGAATAAAAATTTAAGCTAGAAATAAGAGGTCAGAAAACATATTTTAGCACAACCCTTTTAGAAAAGTGTTGGATACACATCAAATTATTTGTGAAAATTTGTAATAACTCAAATAGATTGTTCTTATATAGACCATTTTTTCCATACTGTTTTCAAAGCCCATGTAAGGTCTTCACATATTTTTGTTTGAAAATACACGTTTTTCTTTTAATAGTTTACTTACCTGGAAATAAAATAGATAATTGAGGATTAATGTTAATAAATTTTAATACTTCCAGACAGTAATAGGCTGAGCTGAGAATTCTCTTAGTAACTTTAAACCCTAAAACAAAAAAAATTGCAATGAATTTACTCTCACTTGAATTTATACTTTTTCATCTTTCAGAAACAAAACCCATAGCCATCTCTTGAATTTCCTTTATCCTGTATATATAATATATCTTTTGTTTATATGGCTGTATTTAAGATTTTTTTACCATTGATTTTAAGCAATTTGCTTATAATGGGCCTTAGTATCATTTTCTTCATAATTTTTTGCCTAGGGTTCATTGAGTTATTTGGATCTGTGGACTTACAGTTTTATAAAATTTGAAAATATTTAGTCCATCATATCTCCAAATACTTTATTTATTACACCCCTATTCTCTTTAGGTACTCCAATTATTCATGCATTAGTCTGCTTGAAGTTATCACACAGCTTACTGTTGTGCCATTTTGTCTTAAAATCTTTTTTACATTTTCTTGTATTACATTTGGATACTTTCTATTACCATGTTATTAAGTTCACTCATCTTGTTTCTGCGATATTTATTCTGCTGTTAATGTCATCCTATGTATTTTCCACCTATAGGAGTTTTGTTTGAGTCTCTTTCTTATGTTCTATGTCTTTATTTAGTATGCTTAATATTTTTCTATCATTAATATATGAAATATAGTTATAATAGCTGTTTTAACATCCCTTTTGAATACTTTGGTCATATATGTCATTTCTAGTTCTGTTTCTATTGATTGATTTTTGTTCTTATTATGCATTTTTTTAGCTCCAAAATATCATCAACTGTTGGATTAAGCAAAAGAAATGCATTTTTTCACAGTTCCAAGATCAAAGTTTTGTCAGAATTTGATTTCTTTAAAAAAATTTTTTATGTGTTTATTTTTTATTTTTTAAAAATTTTATTTACTTATTTTTCAAGTACAGTTTTCTGTCTATTTCTCCCATCCCAGCAGAATTTGATTTCTGGTGAGAGGTCTCTTCCTGGCTTGAAGATGGCCATCTTCTTGCTATGTTCATATATGGCCCTTTTGGGTTTTTTTTTTGGTCTGTGCACATGGTTGAGGGGGAGGGAGAGAGAGCGGGAGCACACGAGCTCCAGTGTCTCCTCTTTCTCTTACAAGGATTCCATTCCCATCAGATTAGGGCCCTACTGTTATGACCTTATTCATCCCTAATTACCCAAAGGTTTCACCTCCAAACACCATCACATTGGAGGTTATGGCTTTCACATATAAATTTTGGGGAGGCACAACTGTTCAGTCCATAACATGTGTCATATTTTTTCTTTGCATGCCTGGTAAGTTTTATTTGATGCTAGACATTGTGAATTTTACTTTTTTTGGGTGCTAGATATTTTTATATTCTTATAAACATCCTTACATTTTATTCTGGATATAGTTGATCTTTTAGAAGCTTTGTTTTTTGTTAGAGATAGACCAGATAAACCTTTAGTGTAGGGCTAATTTTGCCCCATTATTGAGGCAAGAACCTCTGGAATACTACACATGATATTCCAAGAATTTCACATTTTTCTGCTCTGGTTAGAGGAGCATTTCTGGCTCTGTGGGAACTCTAGGAATTGTTACCCCTGTTCTTTCTGGGTGGTTCTTTCTCATACATCAGCACTGATTAGTACTGGGTTGAAGACTCAAGGAGGATCTTTTTCAGATTTTTGGAGGTTTTTGTCTTTAGCATCATCTCCTCTATAGTAATCTGCTCTGCAAGTTTTAAGGGCCTGGGCCTCTCCAAGTTTGCAAAACTATCTCCTGAATTAAAGGAACCACTAGGCTCTTCCTGTAATGGGGCTGCAAATTCTTTCTAAGTAATATGCTAGGGCAATCATACAGTAAACTCTCATTCACTTCTCATTTCTCAGGGATCACTGTCCCGTGCTTCCTGATGTCCACTGTCTGAAAAATGTTTTTCCGTATATATGTATATTTTAGGGTTTTTTTTCAGATTTTTAGTTCTTTCAAGTGGTTTTTGTCTATTTGAATGTGAATGTTTCTCTTAGAATTAAGAAAGATTTTTTGCAGTGTTTCTTTAAGCTTTAGATTCTTTCTATAGAAAATGCTTATGCCTTTTGAATTACTAAGGTTATTAAATGAATGAAGTGATCCTGCTTATAAACTCTGATTATCTAGGGGTGTGTTGGCTATTTGTGGGTGTTTGATGACCTGTTTCTGATGTGATTATTATTAATTATAAAATATTAAAAGATAACTTAATAATAATTATATATTAAACACTTTTTATATATAGTGCTTCCTAAAACACTCAGTGTTTACTAGTTTATCTTTAGAGCTATTGAGATATTTTTATGTGTTAGAGTTTCCTATTCCTTTGTGCTCGTAGTCTGACATATGGTGACAGTCACAAAGAATTGTGTTAACTCTACTCATTCTGGTTAGTCTTTTGTGGGTTGCACCTTTTCTGAAAAGACACAAGTAATATTTCTGACCCTGCATTCATGATTTTTACTATTTCCTACAGCATGCTTGTTACAGGAATTCTTTACAGGTGGAAATATAATAAAAATTTTTTAAAGTCATCTCTGAAAATGGATGTTTCCTTTCATTCTTTTTAAAAAAGATTTTATTTATTTATTTTTAGATACCAAGGTAGGGAGGGAGAAAGATAAGGGAGGGAGAAAAACATTGTTGTGCAAGAGATACATCAATTGGTTGCCTCTCATAGGCCCCAGCCAGGGACCTAGCCCACAATCCAGGCATGTGAGCTGACGGGATGGAATGAGCGAGCTGTTGGTTTGCAGGTTGGTGCTCAGAAATGAGTGCCAAATTTTCTGCAAATTCAGAAATGGATATTTTCTTTATTAAGACCTTTAAAATGCAGATAAAAATTCATGCAATCTGAACATTCATTTTTATTTATTAGCCAATTAAAGAAAAGAACATCTCATTGTTATCTCACTGAGATTAGGCTTACCTGCTATAGTGAATTTATGAGACAGGATGCCAAGCAAGAGAACATGTACATATTTAAGAAATCACAGATAGTTTATTTTCATATAAATGGGGAGGTGGACATATATATTTTCTTTCAACATGGTACACACTGTCATCTTTTTTTTTTTTTTTTTTTAATCTCACAGTATCCCAAGATTCGAAAACCTTGAAAGTGGATGAAGAAACAGAAAACACAATGAGAGTTACCTGGAAACCAGCACCTGGGAAAGTTGTCAACTACCGTGTTGTGTATCGCCCCCGTGGGGGAGGAAGACAGATGGTTGCCAAAGTGCCACCCACAGTCACCTCGACAGTGTTAAAGAGACTTAAACCCCAGACCACATATGACATCACAGTTCTCCCGATTTACAAGACAGGAGAAGGGAAGCTTAGGCAAGGATCAGGAACGACAGGTACAAAATGATAACTCTTTTGGAAAGTATGTCGTATTTCAAGGAAAACTTTATACATCTATTTTACTTGTAAATGTCTAAAATTAATTCCGTAATAAATTAAATTAGAATAATTTGACAGGATTAGTATGTTATTTTTACCAATCCAATGCCTGGTAAAATGATTCTATATATTAATGTTCTAATGCTAACCTACTCTTCTGAATTGTGAGAATTATTTATACGTTCACTTGGGTAGCACTTTGTTAATCAGCATTTTTATTGCGTATTGTATCTGGTGCTATCAGACTTACCTTTCTTATAAAGTATATGTTTTGAAGTGTTATGGTTGTGATGATTCTTGTGTATGTCACTTAGATGTTTCCAATTCGATTTACTATTGTAGAGGCTAATATAGAACCCCAAAGCCTAGTCTTATGGATAATATTTTGAAATCTTGTTATCTTTACAGCTTCTCGATTTAAGTCACCCAGAAACCTCAGAACCTCTGACTCAACCATGTCTAGCTTCCGAGTGACTTGGGAGCCTGCGCCTGGGGAGGTGAAAGGTTACAAAGTCACGTTCCACCCTACAGGGGAAGAAAGAACACTGGGGGAGTTAGTGGTTGGACCGTATGACAACACAGTGGTTTTGGAGGAACTTAGGTAGGAATGAACTATATTTGGTCTGTATTAAAGCACTGAATAACTTATGTAAATTAGTTGGCCTCACACAACAGAGTGTGCCAGCAGAGTGTTTTAAATCAGCTGAAGTTGCTTTCTTATTCTTGGTGCTGGCAAAGTGGAGGTAGCATTCAGGGGTTAGAACAGAATGTAGGCTTGAGCAGATTTTTTGGTAATATTTTAATGATTTTTGTTATTAAGTGATCGGGGATGGCATTTTTAAAATAATATCCTGCCTTTCAAAAATTAACATCCATATTACACTAAAAAGTCACTTTCCCCTAGCAAGCCCTGTGGCCATGTGGGCGTTTCCTTCTGGAAAGGCCCAGGTGACTCACACTTAGATTCCAAGTGTGTCCTCTTCCAGGGTGGGCCATGGCAGAGGGAGAGCAGGACTTTGTGCCTAGTGCCAGCTGGCAGGATCGGGGAGGGGTGAACTGATTGAAAGCCTCGCTTCAGGCTGTGCGGTGGAAAACAAGGAAGTTTGAGTTTGAACAGCGCCCTGCATTCATTAAAGTAAAAAGAAAGCACTACTGTGCAGTGCCTTTTTGAAAGTTTGTTTCAACCGTTCATTAAACAATATTGAAGTCTATATAAATGCTTGTTATTTACTTCTATCAGAATAGGGAGGATGAAATTTACTGAGCCTACTATGTGCCAGCATTGTACAGGGGGCTCTTTGTAACCATGAAAGGTACAGCATTGAAATTATTTTTTTAAAGCAAATTGCTTAGGAGCAGTAAGGACCTAGGGCAGGACTCTTCCTGGACACGTTCAGTGGCATGGTGGGTATTCTACATCTGACAGCAAGAGGACACAGAGCCCAGTGCCGGAAGCCCTAGTCTCTAAAATGTTGGCTAGCTTCCCTTGATACCTCACACTGTGAGCTTAAACTATAGTGTGATGGAAATTATTTTCCTTCTCTTGCAGTGGCATGCATTATAACCTTGAGGGAGGGTTTGTAAATCAAGATGAGTATCTTAAACAAAGCAACAATGCTACCACTTGGGCCAGTTATACATATAGACTATATGTTTTCACATTTCAGGGCAGGTACCACCTACAAAGTAAATGTTTTTGGAATGTTTGATGGAGGAGAAAGTTCACCACTTGTTGGACAAGAAATGACAACCCTCTCTGACACAACTGTAATGCCAATTTTATCCTCTGGTAAGAAACTGAGTTACATTTCCCTAGGAGACCTCAATATTACGAAACTACTTCAAGTATGAATTGTTAGGTTAATCACACAATGAAAAGTGATTGCACAAATGTTACACTAAAATTTATATAAATAATTTACATATTTAATTTTTCCCAAAAATGTAGCTAAGCATGCTTTTTTACAATATAGTTGTAAGGCCTTTTTACAAATATTTAGCATTGCATTGACTGCGTAGTACTATATTATTTAAAGATGAGTTTTTGAGATCATGAGTTTTTTAGATAATGTACATTTGCTCTCTTTTTAATGACTAAAAGGTAGTTCTATTTTGTTAAAGTAATGAGAGAAATGACTTATTTGGGCTTAGCAAGCAGCGGGGGGTTACTTAAATAGCAGGGGAACCACAACTGGGGGGGCAAAATGCTAACATAAGCCCTTTAGATTTTTTTTTGCACTTGCCATGATTATAGTTTTCATGTACATGAAGCTAGTTTTGAACATTTTAGAGGTATAAGTGGTGGGTAGAATTTACTTCTAAATATTTGCCATCATTTGCTAAAAGAAGAGTAGATCTGGGCAGTTCATGAGCAGGCTTGCAAAAGCTTAGGTGGTCGGAATGGTACTGGGGATCCTGCTGTCCTGAGTTAGTGTGCAGTGTGTGAGGACAACTTTGTAGTGTGAGGAGCATCTTGGGATTTTTCCTCCACGACTTCTTCTTGTAACGTAAAGAGCAGAGGCTAATGTGGCAAGAGGTGGGAAAATCCAGAGCTGGTAGCACAAGCTCCTGGAAAAGAAAGCATTTGAAAATGTGGATGTGGACAAAATAAAATGTCAAATCGTGCTGTTTTGTTTTAATGTTTCTCCCATGGTGATATTAACTGACTTATATTTTTATTTTGTAGCTTGTGCACTGAGGATATTGGGATCATTCTCTCTTTCCAAAGCACCCTCACTTTGTATCAGTGTTTGTGCTTGTTGCGTCTATAGCTCTCAATTTGTATATTTGTTTGCATACTTTTTCTAAATTGTCTTTCTCCTCTCCTGATTTTTTTAAATGTGCAGACTTTACCCCCTGAATATGCCTGAGTGTTATACATAGCAGACGATAAAGGAGTTAATGACTATATAATATAATAGCTATCAGGTTTAAACACAATTATGTTTACTTTAAAAAGGTCTGGTTTTAAGTTATGTTCCTATTTCTTCATAATATTTATAGTAGTTACCAGGGAGCTTAATTATTTTAAGACTTCCTGGCTCACTAAAACCTGTTTTAGCTTATACATTCTATCAGTTTATCTCATACTTGTCTGCTAGTGGCCATGGAATATCACAGAAAAATGCAAATAGAATAGTCTGATTACATTAAAACTGTAGTAAAATTATTAACACTTTATAGTTAGATGGCTGTACATTCTCATTTATTTCAGGTCTTAAGTTTGTGAGCCCATCCAAATTTGTAATGATAGTTTAAGTCTCTAGGGTCTGTGGTCAGGAAATACAGTCAAGATGAAAACAAGATTTGCCACTGAAATAATCATTGGAGGAATTGGTGATTCTTATGACTGTTATTTGAAGTCAGTAAATCGCATGGATGTATTTTCAGAGTCTCAAATTCTAAAGCTGTAACACAAACAGTTAGGCAACATTGAGCTTCTGGGGAGTTGGGGGCAGATGTGTGGCTAGGAAGTAACCCCGCTAAGAATTTGCTCCTTACTCTGCTCTCTCTCGCAATTGCCATGTCAGGGATGGAGTGTCTCACCAGAGCTGAGGCAGACATTGTGTTACTGGTGGATGGATCATGGAGCATCGGCCGGGCAAATTTTAGAACTGTGAGGAGTTTCATTTCTCGCATTGTGGAGGTCTTTGATATTGGCCCCAAAAGAGTACAAATTGGTAAGTCTAACTGTGTTGAAGACATTTGGACATTTTCATTGTGCTCTTTTATATATACTAATGTCAGTGGTGTTATTTTAGCCCTTGCCCAGTATAGTGGGGACCCCAGAACAGAGTGGCAGTTAAATGCGCACAGAGACAAGAAGAGTTTGTTGCAAGCGGTGGCAAACTTACCTTACAAAGGTGGCAATACTCTCACAGGTGAGTCAGGATGGTTTGGCTCAATTTTAGTTCCTGTCAAAGCTTGTGGCTAAACAATGATGTGATTGATTCTCTTTTAAAAATCCCACCAGGCATGGCTTTGAATTTCATTCGCCAGCAGAGCTTCAAAACCCAAGCTGGAATGAGGCCTAGAGCTCGAAAAATTGGTGTTCTCATCACTGATGGAAAGTCACAGGATGATGTTGAGGCACCTTCGAAGAAACTCAAGGACGAGGGCGTGGAGCTGTTTGCTGTTGGTAAGCCTGGCCAAGGCTAGCGGTGCTCTCAAAAGCTGAGGATACTTTTGTAGTTAAAAATATTTTCTGAAGTGTGAAAAAAACAAACACATTTTCCCTGTCATATAGTTTATCAAATGGTGTAATTATCCTTGTAAGGAGACAAAGTTACATGTCTTCTCAGAAGAAAGTAATGGCTGAAGAGGACAAATGCATTCTTAATAGGAATCAGAGAAATTCCTGCTTGGTTTTCCATGGCCCAGTCTTTATTTTTGGTACCCATATTTTATTTTCCAGAAGAAAACATTGCAGAGAAACTTTTTTTTGGGGGGGGCGGATTGGTACTAGAAGTATTTAGAAGACGTTAATTCAGAATAGCTTTCAATTTACATAATTTTTTATTTGATCCTATTTTAGGATCAGATAATCATTTAGGTAGATAATGATTTTGTTATTGAGGAAAATCATGTATATGTTCTAGTTACCATTGATTTTACAGGGTAGCTTGTAAAATTTTTGCTTCACTCCATTATTTTTTTCCTGAGGAGTGCTTTTAATTTGTATATATCCATTTGTTTAGGTATTAAAAATGCTGATGAGTCTGAGTTAAAGATGATTGCATCAGATCCCGATGATGTCCACTCATACAACGTGGCAGATTTTGACTCACTCTCTAGAATTGTGGATGACCTCACCATTAACTTGTGTAACAGTGTCAAGGGTCCAGGTAAGGTTAGCTCAGGGTTTCTACCCTAAGCACTTTGGACCAGATAATTCTATTAGATTCTATTCTTATTTATTATTTTTATTTATTTATTTGTTTGTTTCTTTATTTATTTTAGACAAAAACAGAGAGAAATGGGAGAAGAGGGTGGGGGGAAGAGATAGATAGATAGATAGATAGATAGATAGATAGATACCAACTTGTTGTTTGTTTTTCCATTTATTTATGCATTCATTGGTTGATTCTTCTATGTGTCCTGACTGCAGATGGAACCCACAACCTTGGTGTATCTGGATGATGCTCTAACCAACTGAGCTACCTGGCCAGGGCTGGGCCAGACAATTCTTATTTTGGATGGGGGAAGGGATTCTTTTGTGCTTCGTGAGATGTTTAGTAGCATTGCTATGTCCTGCCCACTGGAAGCCAGTAGCATCCCCTGATTTGTAACAACAAAAAAATATCTTCAGAATTTTCCAAATGTCTACTAAGGAGAATACTACCCAAAATTGAGAATCATTGGTTTAGTCCCTGATTTGTTTCTGGTGACATCAACTTAGAAATGACTTTCAGCTTATTTGGGGACACTTTTAGCTGTATGTGCCTGCAGACAGACACATACTCATGCATAAGTGGTGATTGGGGAAGGGAGATTCTTTCTTTTCTAGTGAATGCATATTTTCTTATAAAGCAAATTACTATATAATTACTAAGCTTCTAATAAATGGTTGTTCCTAGACTTTTATTTTCTTAAGTTTGATAACTTTTGGGGGGGTTAGGAATGAAAGAGGGTTCTTATATCTGATCTGCTTTGCCTCAACTGGAGATGGTCAAATTTGATACTTTGCACTTGTAACCCTTAAATATACAGGGACATTACAATTTTAGAGTATAGACTTTTAGAAATGACATAATCTGTCTTTACCTGGGTAGAAAACTGAGACTTAGAGAAGTTAAATTATACAGGGTCAAGTGGTTAAGGATGTTTTTAGAGGTCTTTGAAAAGAAAAGTAGTTATTGAAAAGGAATTAAGATTTAGAAGTAAAATTATGGAACTGAATTCACAGTGACAAAAGGTAGGGAAAATGATTATTCTCCACATAAATCAGAGGACAAAACATAGTAAGCACAAAAATTGAAGATTTTTGGAAAATTAAATGCATTATATTGTAAAAGTTTCTTTTAAATACTTGTAATAGCAACGTGGATTACGATGAAGGTGGTCTTTCATTATTATCTTCTGGCTTTGGAAAGGTTGGAGTAAACTTAACAAATAATGTGGTAAAATGGTTTACATGCTTTGGGTACTGGGATACGTGTATTCGACTATTCCTTCTTGAGTTTCTCACTCCAAACGTCTGCAGATTTTATTTTTTTGGATTTTGAACAACAGACTGACCTTTTCCCTGGAGAAATGGACCAGCCAGGAAACCAGTATTTGTAGGCTTCTGGCTCTGGATTAGCTGAGAGAGTTGTAGTTTTATTTAGTTGGAGAGAACTTTGAATAGGGATGAAAACATCTTTTATCTATTTTCCTTTATTTTTTTTGTCAACTATGTAAGAGTTGCATTCATCCTAGTTTCCCAGACAGTAAAATTGGTTGATAATTTTGTAGGCTTGATTATGACCCAAGTACAATAAAGGTTAGGATGCTAAGAATGGAAATGCTTTCTCCAGCTTTGGCTTACAAAGAAAGTAGAAAGAATTTATATGAGAATAATTTGCCATGCTCATGGAGTCACTGGCTAAATTCTCTTTAAATTTTTATTTGGTGCATCTTTCTAGTGGTCATAAGGAAGTTAATATTTCTATGTTCATTAATATTTATTACAGATATTGTTTTGCATTAATCATTTTACCTATATCTACCCACAAAGAATGCAATCACGGACAGTAGGATGTTACCAAAATTTTTAAAAGTTAGCTGTTTCTCTCTTTTGAGTATGAAAGTGGTTAGTTTCTTTTACCACTGAACTAGGTCCTGTAGGGGAACTAACCATGAACAAGAAACCAATTCTGTTCTTACAGACTGCAGCCTGAATATAAATAATCAAAATGATAATGAGGGCCACGAACTTGGATGGCACCAAAAGTTATGACAGAGACAATGGACTTGTCAGGTCCCAAATCCTTATTTGTTGATTATAAATTAAGATTTATATGAATTATAAGTCATTAAATTTATTAGATTATAAATTGATTTCAAGGCTAGAGAGAGGAGAAAGTATCCGAAGGATGATTCAGAGGTTGGAGACTAGGTGACTTGTAAACTGGGGGTACCATAAGAAAGGGTGGGATCAGGTTTCAGTGAAAGAAAATGAGCTTAAGTTTGAATTTTCTGAGGCTGAAGACCCCTCTGGGCATCCCTTCAGAGATATCTTATGTGCAATGGTCTTCTATAATGATTAACTGTAGCTACTTAGTATGTGAAAGGGCATGTGTACAAGCATGATTTGGTAACTGATAACATTTCTATCTAATTTCAAATTTAATCACCTTGGTGTAATAATGAAAAAAGTGTATGTACTTTATTTCCACATGCAGGTGACTTGGCAGCGCCTTCTAACCTAGTTATTTCTGAGCGAACTCATCGTTCTTTTAGAGTAAGCTGGACACCTCCTACTGACAGTGTGGATAGATATAAGGTGGAATACTACCCAGTTTCTGGAGGCAAACGCCAAGAAGTGAGTAAATAATACTTTCAATCCCCTTCTTCCTTATGTTCAGGTTGGATCCTACTCATTAGAGCTCTGGGAAAATGTTGGGTGAGGAGTGAGAGGGAGGTAGAGTGCAGAACTAGTCAATATTGGTGCTTTCTAGCTCATGCTAGGCAAACATTTACCTTTGGGTTTAATTAAAGGAAAAGAGCTCTGCTTAAATTCTTATGATTTTTGAGAGTTGAAGAATATGGGAGTAAAAGACAGAATACTGTACTTGAAAAATAATTAAATAAAAAAATTTTAAAAACCCTACACATAGTAAAATTAAAAAAAAAAAAAAGAATATTGGCCAAGATGGAGGCATAGGTGGAGACAATATGCTTTCTCACACAACCAAGTTTAGAGACAACAAAATATTAACAATAGAAAACATAGCCAGAACACAGAAAATTGAACTTTTCGGAAGTCTGATAACAACAAATTCTTCAGCCTGACTGGTAAGAGGGGTGAAGCCAGCAGCTGGCAGAGCGGGGTTGCACAGGAAAACTCTGTCAGACGAACTCAGGCGTGTGGATCCCAGGCATGGGATTACAATGGGTGGACCCGGTGAGTGACCCAGTGAGTGACCCAGTGAGTGATCCAGTGAGCGATCCAGTGAGCGACAGGCAGACCCAGCGAGGGTGCAGGGCGGCGGTTTGACTGCGGTTGCGCATTTGTGCGCAGATAGACCAGCGTGGGAGTCGGCGGTGAGACTGGACGGAGGAGGCCCCAGCGGCAAGTGGCAGCAGAAAGGGTTGCCATTTCCCCGCTCTGACCCCACCCCAACATACAGTGTCACAACCCAGAGACCTGGGTGGCCCTGCCCTGGTGAACACCTAAGGCTCTGCTCCTTATACTTAACGGGCTCAAACAGACCAAAAATGGCTCAAGAAGATCTCAAAGCCCCAGAGCCCATAACTCTAAGCGACAAAGAAATAGCAAAACTTTCAGGTGCACAGTTCAAAACACTGGTGATCAGGATGCTCATAGAACTGGTTGATTTTAGTCACAAATTAGAGGAACATATGAAGGCTAAACTAATTGAAATGAAGGGAACTGCACAGGAAATCAATAGTGATGAAAAGAAACTGGGACAAATCAAGGGAGTGAACCAGAAGGAAGAAAAAAATGGCCAAACAGGAAAATATGAAGAAACAAGAATTCAAAAAAAATGAGGAGAGACTTAGGAACCTCCAGGACATCTTTAAATGCTCCAACATCCAAATTATAGGGGTACCAGAAGGGGGAAAGAAACAGCTACCAGTGGAAAACTTATTTCAACAAATAATAAAGGAGAATTTCCCCAATCTGGCAAAGGCAATAGACTTCCAGGAAATCCAGGAAGCTCAGAGGGTCCCAAAGAAGTTGGACCCAAGAAGGAACACACCAAGGCACATCATAATTATATTAGCCAAGATTAAAATGAAGGAGAGAATCCTAGAAGCAGCAAGAGATAAAGGGACAGTCACCTACAAAGGAGTTCCCATCAGACTGTCAGTGGATTTCTCAAAAGAGACCTTATAGGCCAGAAGGGGCTGGAAAGAGATATTCCAAGTCATGAAATCCAAAGACCTACAACCAAGATTCCTCTATCCAGCAAAACTTTCATTTAGAATAGAAGGACAGATAAAGTGCTTCTCAGATAAGATCAAATTCAAGGAGTTCATCATCACCAAGCCCTTATTATATGAAATGTTAAAGGGACTTATCTAAGAAAAAGAAGATAAAAAAGATGAACAGTGAAAGGACAGCAAACTCACAGTTATTAACAAGCACACCTAAAACAAAAGCAAACTAAAAGGACAGCTAGATCAGGAGCGGAAACATAAAAATGAAGACCTCATGGAGGGTTAGCAACAGGGAAGTGGGAGAAGGAGAAGGGGGGAGAAGGTACAGAAAATAAGTAGCATACACAGTAGGTAGAAAATAGATGGGGGGAGGGCAAGAATAGTATGGGCAATACAGAATCTAAAGAACTTGAGACACGTGGTCATAAACTAAAGGGGGGAATGGTGGGGGCAGAGGGGTGCAGGGTGGAGGGGAATGAAGGGGGGAATAGAACAACTGTAATGGCATAATCAATGAAAAATAATAATAAAATAAAAAATGAAAAATAAAAAAATTCACTTAAAAAAAGAATATCAATATGATTTTTAATTAAAATTTAATTAGGGGATGCTTGATTTGTTCATGAATTTATACTTAGAAACATAGAGTTAGAAGGGAACATTAAAGATGATCTAATTTTACGCACTCTTTTTACAAGTAAGGAAAAAACATTTGGGGGAATAAATTATATGAATTGTCCGAGATCTCATTATAATGTGGTATTTTGCAAAAACAAAAGATAATGCCCTTATTGAAAGATAATTTCTAAGCTCATTGCAATTAACTACTTTGTAACTATAGTAGAAAAGAGGAAAGTGATCATAATATGTTGTTATTACTTAAAAATTTTTCCCTTCAGTTTTATGTGAGCCGTCTGGAAAGTAGCACAGTGCTGAAAGATCTGAAGCCTGAAACTCAGTATGTTGTGAATGTGTATTCTGTGGTAGAAGATGAATATAGTGAGCCTCTGAAGGGCACCGAGAAAACCCGTAAGTCATATTAGAAATAAATTATTGTTGTTTTGTTTTTTTAAGATAAAAAGGTGACAGCGCATGTGGGATTTTGTCAGTCTTCCAAGTCATTCCTTTATTCAATATCCATTCCACAATGTACTGAGTGCATTCTGTGTGTAGGTCCTCAATAAATACACAGTGGTTTTCTGCTTTTACTGGCTATTCCAGCTGGTTTTCACTTCTTAAGGAAAGACACCATGTTGGGGGAAGGGGACCAAGGTTAGGAAGAGGAACTGTACTGAATGACCTATTTTCATTCTGTTGAATGCCAGATCTTCCTTCTGGCAATGAGATCTCTCCATTTTTTCTTCCCTGGCCTTTGGCCTTTGGCCTCTGGCCTTTACTAGAGAAGTTCCAATGGCTTTGACTTTGAGTAGAGTTTTTTAGGAGAGATGCCCCTCACTCCTGTTTCTGGTCAGGTTTCTGAGGCCTTATGAATATTCTCCCTCCTTCTCCCATCTTCTTGGCTGAGCTCCAGGGGTAAGGGGGCCACTTGTAAGAGAAAGGAGTGGGTACCACTCTCTCCAAGGCAAGAACTGACTCTACTTACTGCTCGGTTCTTTAGGTCTTTATCTCTTTTCTTATTTCCCTTATATTAGACCATAGGAGGTAAAATGAAAATAATGTATTTAATAATAGGCAGGATTAATTTGACAATTCCTTAAGAATTTAAACAACAAAGAGAAAGCTATGTGGGTGTTGTGTGAAGAGGCGACTGCAAACCGTTTACTCTGCCTGTGGGCTTGGCTTCAAAAAGCCCATAAATCCCTAAGTTCCAGTTAGTAATATATGGCACTCTCAGTTAGCAATTTTTTAAAATAAAGATGAAATAAAATACTATGTTGGTTACTTATATATGAAATTCTATGAGTAAAGAATGAACATAGTCAAATTAGAGATGTTACAGAAAAACAGACTGAAGTATCAGGAAGTTGGTACTTATTTCGGCTTCCATATGGACTCATAGGAATAATATTTCAAATTTAAACTTTCTTCCTCTTATGAAAGAGTTGTAACATACAGTCCCGAGTATGGGGTAGCTATGAACAATGACATTATATTTTCAGGGGGGGAAGAGGAAAGGATGATGTTAACTCTCACTGATTTCCCATAGCAATTTATTCTTTATTTAGCATATACAAATATCAATAACTAAGTAGGAACCAATTAAAAAATGAGCAGAAGGACAGGAATTAGACTGATGTCTGTTTTACATTCCAACAGTGCCTGTTCCAGTTGTCAGCCTGAATATTTATGACGTTGGCACTACCACCATGAAGGTGCAGTGGCAGCCAGTGGGAGGGGCTACCGGCTACACTTTGTCCTATGAACCCATCAATGCCACAGAACCGACAAAAGCCAAAGAGGTGGGAGACATTGTTTCTTTTTTATTGGGTCTTCCTGAGACATTACAGTTTTAGTCTTCATTAACTGCAGCTACTTATGAACTCATTTATACCTTTACACACAAACCAGAAAAATAGAAAATTAGGCCTGTGACCCATTTTAAAAGCTTTAGCATGAAAAAGAAAATGCAATTCAGAAATATGAAAAATAAAAGTTGTGTTATAATCTAGTGGTTACAGATGGGCTGTGATTGGCTGTCCCCAGTAAGTGGAAATGTTTGATCTGAATGTCTGATTTCCCCTGGGCGTGTCCATGTGCAGATGCGTGTGGGACCAGCAGTGAACGATGTGCAGCTGACTGGCCTCTTTCCCAACACTGAGTACGTGGTCACAGTCCAGGCAGCCCTGCATGACCTCACCAGTGAACCTGTCACTGCTCGGGAAGTCACCCGTAAGACATTGACAATTTTCCTTCTTTTCTATTGCTTATAACATTCATTCAGATTTTTCTTTTACCCAGTGATGCTAACCACAATTTAATTATTTGTGCATAAGTTATAGGGTTATTATTTATGGCAATCATATTCAAGAATTAAGATTAATTCTAGACTTATGGAAGCATCTCAGATTGATTATAGGATTTACATATCTTTTCACATTTAACATGCTCAGTATTGAAGTGTATCTTACAATCAATATTGTCTTACAACTTTTCATAGCCAGATGTCTATCAGGGCATAGAACATAAAATAGTGTATACCTTACACTGATGTTGCTGTAGGTCCATGAAATACAGCTGGTGAGGATGGGAAGTTGGGTGAGTGTAGTTTTGAAGGAAGATATTCAGTTTAAGATCAATATGTTCCAAATTTTTATTAAAGTAGAAACTCTGTGGCATATATGAATGTCTGTTTCAATTAAGTGAATTAATCAATTAACTCAGTCCAAGAACATTGATCATTTATTATACGCTAGTCACTGTGCACCAATAAATATAGGTAATGCACCAATAAATAATGCAAAGCAGCACAGAGTACGTGGATTCCATCCTCGTTTGCACTTCTCTCATTTGTTGATTGGCCCTTTTTGTGTTTCCTGTATGTTTCACTAGCACTTTTCTTGAAAAGTGACAGTGATTGCACTTAGGACCTTTGCCTGACCTAGCTGGGAGTTGGGTTTCTTGCTTGTTGAGGAGGGCATGCTGGGATACATGACTTGGCTTAAATTTGGTGAGTCTCAGTCCACATTTCTAGAGAAATAAAGAAGTGGGAAGGAATATTCAAGGGGGAAAAGGGCCTGAGACAGAAGCATGATGGGGCAGAAAAGAGAAAGACCCCCTCCTGGGTGGGGCACTATAAATTCATGAATGAAAAATAATCATCTTTTATATATTAGATCCTGTTTGGAACTGGTGCTGTTGTAGAAATTGACCAGTGGCAGATGGAAAGAGTTGGGAGCCTGACAGGGATGAAGACATGTGTTTTGAGAGTGCTGGGAGAGAAGGGCCATAGTGGGTGAAAGAAAAATGTGGCCATGGATAAGGCTACAGGGCTGGACCTTAACAGTGGAGACAGGGAGCTCAGGGAAATAAAAGCATTGAAGGGATGCGGTGCAGAAATGGAGGTGAAGAGAAAGATTCAGGAAGAGAGGTGTACAGAGTTTCAATGAGAGACAAAGGAACTGGTCAAATGGGCAGCTGGAAGGAGTCAGATACATCTAATATAACAAAAGAAAATGCATTCATTAGTTACCTTCCTCCCTCTTCGTTTTAAGGGGAAGCTTTGTTTGTCTTGGTAAAAATTTATTATTTGTATTTTCTTTTTACCATTTAGGTTTCTGTGGATTTTCTCATAAGTTTATTGTATACTCTCTTTTGGCTCATTTTCATTCTTCACTGTTGTAACCAGATATTTTTCTATCGCATTCTTAGGGCAGCTTGACTGTTCTGATTTTGGTTTTTACCTTAATCAATTTAAACATCTGGTAAAGAAACACGAGTGATAAGTTTATGGTGAATTATGAGTTATTATAGCTGAGCAGCAAGTAAGAGTTTATTGCAATAGGGTGGAAGAAACTAACATATAAGTGAGAAGTATAGTTGTCATATAAATTTAAATGTATCCTGTTTTTAAAAAGACTTCTTAAGGATAATTCAGCTCTATCTGGTAGAATTATAGTACATTTATCAGCATAACCATTGTATTTTAGTTATTTTCCTGCATGCCTTTAAGTGTTCTCAAAACAGCTTCTTGAAAGCTTGTGTGGGTTCCTTAGAGCTTTGTGGTTGAGAATCACATCTGGACCTAATTTCTCATGCATCTCCAGTGCCTCTGCCCAAACCTCAAGACCTGAAACTCAGAGATGTGACCCACAGCACCATCGATGTCTCTTGGGAACCCAGTCCTGGAGCAGTGCGTAAATATATTGTTCGCTACAAAACTCCAGAAGAGGATACCAAAGAGGTAGGTTGAAGATTAGAATGGGTTGGGAGTTCTTTGTTTTCCTACTAGATTTAACAAAACAACCTAAACGAGTATGTTTGATAGCATGTTTTGAAAACTGTCATTTTGTTAATATAGTGTTGAAACATTATTATATTAATAAAATACTTTTTGGATATTGATAATATGTCAGACTGTCTTGCATTTAGTTAAAAATGTTTTGCTGTATGATAGTAATCTTTAAAATATCACCCCTTAGTTGCAGAATCTAAATAGTAGTTCCTTTTCATGCAGATTACATATATGGTGCGCTGCATTCTGTAAATTACTAAAAATACGTCAATAATGTTTCTAAAAATAAAAACTAGCAAGGGGATGTTGGGGAGTTTGTCAGATAATAGGAAGATAGGACAAGTGAAAAGACAGAGAGAAAGGATGAATATGTTGTTAGAGGAGTGTCCTTTTGACAGTGAATGTTTTTGAGTAGAGAGGGCGGAGGGAGCTTTTTCCCTGGCAACCTGATTCAAAGTGGGAGCAAACCGAGGGGCTTCACCAGTGAATGGGTTTAAAACTCATGTGTGTTTGGGGTGGGAGCACTGATATTGGGATCTCAGGGGCATTTTTGGAATATAGAAATAGTTTCACTAAGCACCCAGTTACTGGCTGTGCGGGCCATTTGGGTTACACAAAAGCTAGTTTATCCTGGTATACGCATTCATTTCATCCTGGGTTTCAGTTTCAAAAGAGTACAGTGACCAGTGGGTTTCACAGGGTTCTTGTGCATAACAAATGAGATAATCCACAGGGCAACATCTCCAAAAGAAATGAGGCAGTGGTACAAAGGGGAGCAGGTGAGGAATGATCAGGTTGTTTAAATCCATAGGCAGTCATCATTTACCATGCCAGGTATGGCTCTAGTGCACACTTCTTTTTCCACATATGAATGATCTCCAGTTTCTGGATTCTTATGCAGATTGGAAAAAACTGCTTTGGGTTTTTTTTTGTACCACTATTCTTAATGATCTTGTGCTGAGAGGTATAGTAAACAACGGATGTCAAAACTAAAACCTTTGTAAAAATAGCTCTGCTGCTCTATTACAGGTAGAGGTAGACAGGTCACAGACCAGCATCCCTCTCAAAGAACTCACCTCACAGACCCTGTACACAGTCAGCGTCTCTGCCGTGTATGACGAGGGGGAGTCTCCCCCAGTGACTGCTCAAGAAAAGACCCGTAAGTTGTGGTCATGCTGTATTGGCTCATTTGGTTTCTTAAGGCTATTTCTGCCAGTATTTCATGTTTGCATTCACAGGTTTTTAATTTATTTTCTTCTCCCCTTTTACCTTTATGTTCATTTCTTTTCTAATTTCTCTGCTACTGTTTTTCCATCAGCCTCTGTCACTAATTCATCTTCTACGTACCTTGCTGGTGTGTGGGGGGTTGCGGGTGGGATGGGAGAGAAAAAGTACATTCTTGATGTATGTTGGACATTTTCTCTGGAAAAGTTGCATTAGTTACCAAATATTTTTGATATCTTCCTCTGTGTAAAGGGCTACCAGGGTAACAAAATGTAAGCATCTTTGCCATCAGTAGTTCATGATTTCATTGTGAAGATAAAATTAGTTGACAGTACATGGGGTTGTGCAGGGACGTTGAGGTTTGTGGCACTCGGTTTGTACGCATTCAGATTTCAGAGGAAGGGGAGACATCCACGGGGGGGGAAGGTGGGGACATACAGAACACGCCCCCTCACCCCTCCTTCCCTGCCCCATGGTGTTGCTTCTTCGAGGGCTGCTTGTTTCTCTCCCTCCCATGGTACTTCCATGGCATTGAACCTAATTGTTATTGCCTATCAGCCTCTTTGATCTATTCTGCTTTCCCTTCCTAACGAAGGCAGAGACACACTGATTTCATTTAACTTTGTATCTTCAGTGCTTGGCACAGTGTTCAGCCCATAATTTCCTAATTAAATAGTAGTTAAAAAATCAAGGTCTAGAGCCAGCAATATTCCAAAGAACTATAATGGGAGTCCCATATGTAATTTCAATTTTTCTAGTAGCCACATTAAAAAGGAAAAGAGACATAAAGTTAATTTTAATGTGTGTTTTATTTGACCCAATATATCCCAAAAATGATCATTTCAATATGTATCAGTATAATAATTATTAATGAGATATTTTACATTTTCTCATCATAAGTGTTCAAAATACAAGCTGTATTAATTTTATACTTACAGCATATCACAGATTTGGACTGGTCACATTTCAAGTACTCAGTAACTACATGTGGCTAGTGGCTCTCCTAGTGGACAGTATAGGTCTAGAGAATATAAATGACTTGTCCGCCTCATCCAGTAACCTAGTGGTGGGATCAGTGCAACAGTCTAGAACTTTTACTTCCTATACGGTGACTCTCTCACCAGAGGCTCACAATGTTTTCCTTTAGTGCCTAGCTGTCTGTGCATGACCAGGGAATCTTGTGCAATGTCCCAGCCTGCTCCTTAATACCAGGCAGTATCCACTTGTGCGATTTTCTTACCTTGTGGTGTCTCTTAGCTATTTCAGTTGCCTTCTTGACATCAGTTCTTACCTGGTAAGTAAGGGCAGTGGCCAGAGACAAAAACTGATGCAAAGAGTAGACCAACAGCTTTGCATAAACATACCATGAGTAGTAAAGAGAAAAAAAAGTCAAGATAAAAGGCTAGTGGAAACTGGTAATTTAGTACAATAAATTAATACTTTCAATATAGGTTTTTAATCCTTAATTATTCCTAATAACTTACATACATCCAAAGTGCATGCTTGATGTCTTGATGGCAGTTGTGCTTGTGAAAGTGGTGCCACTCTATCTCAGTGGGGCTTTTCACTATAATGATTAGAAACAAACTTTTGATGGCTCTGGGCTTTGTGTAGTTAGCTTTGGTTGCCAGGAGGCTAAGAAATAATCCACAGTGAAAGTTCAGGATTGGTGGCAGACTTTCCAAACTGCTTGTACTGCAAACAAACTAGAGTGCCTGATGAATAGGTTTTTAACTGGGATTTCAGCAGTCAACAGCACTCTGTGGTTTTTCTTCTCTTTAGACAGAGGCAGTTACAGTCTGCTCCACATCGTGTGTGAGGTTAGTGACTGCAGAAGAGGATTTCTTAGATCATAACATTTCATGGACCTTGAAGGTTCATGCACTCTCTGGCATTATATGCCAAAGTTTCTGCTTATGTGTTCTGCTCTGTTCAGGAGCCCTTGGTTTTCATTAGATTCTCAAAAAGATTGAGATGCAAAATGATTAGGAACCACTGAACCAGAAGAGTATTACTAAATATTACTTTTTAAATAGAATATAAATAATCACCTATAAAAATAAAAGTTAATAATCAACTATTAAATCCATGCCATGCTTCCAGTTTTCAGACCTCTCTCTTGTATTTATCTTTCAAATAAACTGAATTGGGGAGATATTTGCTTCTAAGCAATATTTTCAGCCAGTCTTTTCATGTCCATTAAAATAAAACAAAGCAGTTTTATTATATTAAGTTTGTAGAACACATTAAAAATTAGTCCTGCCTTTTCTCACAACAGGCACAGTGCCAGCCCCAACAAACCTAAAGCTTACGGATGTGACGACAGAGAGTTTCAGAGGGACGTGGGACCACGCAGCTTCAGATGTGTCTCTCTATAGAGTCACCTGGGCACCTTTTGGAACCTCAGATAAGATGGAGGTAGTGTTAACTCTCTTTCCCTTTCTCTCTATCTTTTTTTACTGACTCATTTAAATGATAGGAAATCTTGTCTGAAATAACATATTACCTGTGTTGCCAGAAAAGCATCTTTTCTTACTGGTGACATTTCATGGAATGACTCAGAGCAGGAACATTGGCTAAATAGTGTCAGCAAACGGCCACTGAGTATACGATATACATGTTGACTTGATTTGTGTGGGTTTCTTTTTTCTTCCTCTTCCCTTAAGACCATCTTAAATGGAGATGAAAACACTTTATTGTTTGAAAACCTGAACCCTAACACTCTCTATGAAGTTTCTGTTACCGCCATCTATCCCGATGAGTCAGAAAGTGATGACTTGAGTGGCAGCGAGCGCACACGTAGGTGTTCAGCTTTCAGGATGTTGTTATTTTAAAATTAATTTAAAAGTACAGCCATAGAGATATTAGTAATATTTTCCCAAATTTCTTTTTTAGTGCGTTTGATACCTGCAACAACACCAGGTAAGAATTAATTTGCTGAATTGTATGAATGACCCAATAATGAATGAATAAGTGAATGAATGAATGAGAAGTACCATACAATCCATTGCAGACAGGCGTTTTGCTTTTAAATTGTAAGGTGTTGGTTGGGACTTCTTTTAAATGGGACTTTCCTGGAAAAGCTTTGTTTAGAGAGTTTAGAGTTTACTTTTCCTGGAAAGGTATTTGTTAAAGAGTTATTCAGGATTCAATGACCACTTTAGTTCTAAACCTAGAGAACTATTGATTTTCTTGGGAACAGTGCATATCTTGGGGGGCAGCATTGTTCTGTGTGCTTACTCTGTTTCTCAACAATCTTCTTGCAGCTCCAAAAAGTGGCCCCCGAAACCTTCAGGTGTACAATGCAACATCCAACAGCTTGACCGTTAAGTGGGATCCTGCTAGTGGTCGTGTGCAGAAATACAGAATCACTTACCAGCCTTCGACAGGCGAAGGCAATGAACAAACGGTAATTTGTTTTGTAAAGATTCTTGCTTCTGCCTTTTCCTCTTCAAACTTTTTTCACCCACAATATATAGTTAATCATATGGACTATTTTGAGAGTTGTGAGAGTTACTGTATGTACGGGGTAGAAATGTTTAGACTCAGAGGATGTTCTCATGGGAGACGAGTGTTGCTTTTCATAGTAGCTTCACAGTATCAGGTATGTGCCTCAGTGCATCCACATTTCCCTTAAAAAAACTGTGAGTTGAATTATTCATGAAGATATCTGAATTTTTGAGTCTACTAAGATTTTTAATCCATATCACTCTACCTTAAACAAGTGCTGACAGTCTGCTAAACTCCATTATCATAGTTTTTCTTTTTTTGCATGTCGTAAGTGATCTTTTAGGTCTGGTGTTTCCAGATCCATGTGCCTGTTCACCTAATTCATAGTATTTGTCATTTTTATATTTATCTAAATGGAGATTCCTGAGAAAGATGCTAGGACTATAAACTCAGCCTTCATCTTTTTATCTTCTCAGTCTTCCCTTACTTAACAGAATCCTTGTCCATTTACCTTGCTTACTTCTGTTGTCTGTCTTCAAACTTACTCCACTTTTGTTTTTATGAAATGTGTGACTGGAGCTGCACACTTTATCCTAGCTCACAAAGGACTATGATTTTAACACATGATGCTTTGGGTGAGGTTCGGTGTTTTGTTGACTTTTTTGGGGGGTGGTGCTATGTTTCCTCACGTAGCTCTAGAGAGGTAGGAGTTACTAACTTTCAATCATGTGACTTGCTGAGCTCCAGTCAGTGGGTCTTACCTCGGGGCAGTTTAGAGGAGTTAGCAGACATGGACACTGGCAGTGGCTGAAGGTCTCTGATAGTGTAGTAAGTGGGTTTAGCTGGACCAGAAATTCTCCCATCCCCAGTGTGACCAACTTTTGAGTTGGTGTTTTGAGGTTTCCACAGACCTCGACTTAGGTAGTTTGATACACTCAGATTGGGAATATGTCTCGGTTAAATAAGTTATTATTTATATATGTTAATATATTATTATTATCAAGAATAAAATAAATACCAACTATAATCATCTGGCTTTTTATAAAAAGTAAGACACATTTGATGGATTGATATTTTAATGTCAGGAACAGAACTTTTTACCTATGCTGGGCCAGGTTTAGGTAAAACTATAGTAGGATAAGCTTGACATTAACATTTCTGTTCTTAGTGACACTGACCCTCTGACTGCTGTCCAGATCTCTTTTATTGTCTCTCAGCTACTTATTAGAATTAGATGGAGTCTCTTAACCATAACTCCTGGGAACTATTAGTTGATGATCCCTAAGATTTGTTACTGTTATGGGCCTTTTCATTTCAATGCTAGTCCATGAACTGATCAAAGTAATGAGTCACTGATGCTAGAATTATCTTGGAGAGTTGGACAGAAGAAGTGGGCAGACACCCTTCTGCTTACTCGTAAGGCTACCTGTATTACGTGGATGCTTTCAGATGTGTTAAGTACCAAATGGCTTGTACTGACATTGATATTTTTTCTCATCACCTCAAGTACTAAATGTATTGAAATCAGCGACCGTAGTTCAATGTGCTTCTATTAGGATGACTACAGTGATTCACCGAGGTTTCCTGTGGAACTTGAAAGGACGGGTGCGATGCTGGGAACATCTGGCTGCGCTAGCTCACCCAGCTGTCCACATGTGCACTCGTTGCGGGCAGTATGCCCTTTCATGTGATATTAATTAGTGTGGCACAAACATCTGAATTCGGTAAACTGTTAACAAATCGTACAAATTTTCTTTCAACAAGATAGCTAGATGGCCTTAAACAATGAATAAAATACTGAAAACTCTGTAATCGGAGGAAACTGAAAAAGCATCGTACCATGTGGAGATGACTGGGAACCCCTGCTTGAGTGTCCTGGCCAAGGGCCCCGTCACATAGTTTACACAGCTAATGCCATTGGAGTGGCAGTGTTTTGGGGAAACACTGAAAGCTTTAGATCTTTTGCTGAAACATTTTAATGTGTTTCTGAAGCAAATAAGAAACATCTGTAAGAAGAAGTAAGAATTATACTGAATGGTGCAGAACCTCTAATATTATGCAAGTCTTTGTATCTTGAAGTTCATTTGTAGCTCACTTATGGTTGATGCCTTCATGGGAAGAGATCAGTGAAATGCCTTCTGGGTGAAATTTTGCAGTGCTGGCAGCGAGCAAGTTGAAATATCTTTTCAAGGTCACCAGCGTGGTGACCTTAAAAGGCTTAGAGTCTTTTTCTGTGTGATTTAAGGTGCATAATTTGTATTTAAAATTATACCATATGATATCTTTAAATCTTCACTGTGGTATGTACATGTTTCCAGATCTTGGCAAGGGTCTCAAACAGCTCCCTGGTAGAAAGAGCTTTTTCCAACAGACTAGTGAGATGGAGAGAACAAAGTTAACACTTTTTCCTGTTTCACTCAAGATCACAATAGGAGGGCGACAGAACAGTGTGCTCCTGCAGAAACTGAAGCCTGACACTCCTTACACAATCACTGTGTCCTCCCTGTACGCTGACGGGGAAGGAGGCCGGATGACGGGAAGAGGCAAGACGAGTAAGTGAGCCCAGACTTCTGTGGCTTCTGAATTCTTGCTGTGGGAATGCAATCACACCTTTATTTGGAAACACTGCGTGGCACAGGGTTTTGATAATCTGTAAAGATATGTTTAAAAATAATATTGTTTTTAATATCCTTGCTTGGAGTTAACTGTCTCTTTGTGGAGCGAGAACTTATTATTTTCTAGAATAAAAAAAAATGCTCTGAGGCCAAAACATCTTGTGGAGAGAAGAGACACGTGTAGCAGATTATTGCAGTTTTTCATTTATTCACTCTTTCGGCAAATACTTGTGCAGTGTGCACTGCGGGGTGCCTGCTATGTTCTAGGGGTGGACCACTGAACCTGCACTTTGTATGTACTTGGCAGTGAGGGCCTTACTGTGTGTGATGTGTTTCTGTGCATTCCAGAGCCCCTGAATACTGTGCGGAACCTAAGAGTGTACGACCCTTCCACCAGCACCTTGAGTGTTCGCTGGGACCATGCAGAGGGAAATCCTCGCCAGTACAAGCTTTTCTATGCACCAACGGCAGGGGGTCCAGAGGAACTGGTAATTATTTCCTGTAGTGAAACATGCATGTTTGTTTAAACTGTAGCTGAATGATTTAAACCTGGAGCTAAAGGGATTAACTGTTTTGTTTTAGCCTTGACAAAGTTTATATTCATTTAACAGAACCTGATAGAGAGCAAGTTGGTGTCTTGGTGCCTGGGGGATAAGGGGGTGTGGGGAATTGGGGCTGGAAGTAATCATTCCAGAAGTTCTGACCAGGGAGCCTAGGGTGAGTGTAGGGGTCTAGAGGGGTCTTCATAACCTCTTATAATGGTTTATATGGGGACATTATATTCCAATAGTACAGAGCTTGCTTCTTAACTTGTTTTGAGTTAGTATTTTGAGTATTCTGGTGCTCAAAGTATTATTTCTTTTACAAGTTTTTTTTAATCAAGTGTATTATGTTTTATTAAAATCTTTAGGTACCAATCCCTGGGAATACCAATTATGCTATTCTGAGGAACCTGCAGCCGGATACCCCTTACACTGTTACGGTTGTCCCCGTTTACACTGAGGGGGACGGAGGGCGCACCTCGGACACTGGAAGGACGTGTAAGTAAGGAGGCAGGAGAATCTAGCCTTTTCATTAACAATTTTCCTTTTCGTTATAAAAGACCATATAGGCCCATTGAAAAAAATTGTAAAATTCAGAATAATAAAATAAAAACATAAAAATTACTCATAATTCACCTCTTCAACACCACAAACTGTTACTATTTTTGTGTATGATTAAAAGGATTTATAGTGGCATTTGTCTTCTGAAATGATAATTTCAAGATTTACAATAGTTAGTACCCTGGTTATTCTCTTTCACTGACAAAAATTCACTGAGCTTTGCTTTGTGCTTTATAAATTTGTGTGAAACCGTGTTTTGTAATTGATGTTACAGTGTGAGTTGTCGAAATCTGTTCCTCATATTGCTTGACTGCACATTTTTCTGGTTTGCTGAAGTGTCTTTTGGCATTAAAATCTGTGTGATTTTATTTGTCTTTAACATCTTGAAAACCAGTTTATAATGGTTTTACAGTTCTTTGTTGTGTTGCTGAAAGGTTTTTGTGCATGCTTATACTGTATTTCTTTGCCTTCTTTTGGTGACAGATTAGTGCTCTAAAAAGATGATGTTATTGAGTAAACTACAGTTTGGGGTTAATACATGAGTTTAGTGTATGTTTTTGTAAGTCCTGATTGGGGCAGATAATTGAGATATGAGGATCTCATTCCTCCCTCCTTTTGCTTTTAATTTTAATCATAGTAGAAAACACTCATAAAATCGAAAACACAATAAAATTCCTCCTCTCTATCTCTCTATTACTGATGTTGGAAAACTGAAGTTGAAGTTTCTTTTCCAGTTTTTTTCCCTATCCCTTGTCCCTTTACAGCCAACCCAGAATTACAACATTTATTAGCTTGTTTTTATTGGCAACAACTTTGCTTCTGTATAGACAAAGGCCATAACTGCCTAACATTGGGTAAATTTGGATTTGGATAGTTTAAATCTGCTTTTGCGTGTAGATAATTAGGAGTTTAAGGAGGATAGTGTTTTATGTTTTTATAGAGTGTAAGTTCTGGAGAAGAGATAACAAAAACTCAATATGTCTAAACAGACTTGAGAAATACAGGTTGACTTTTCCTTTCTCAGTGGTGAGAGGATTGGCAAGAGACATCCAAGTGTACAATCCTTCGCCCAACAGCCTAGATGTTCGCTGGGACCCCGCCCCTGGGCCTGTGCAGCAGTACCGCATTGTGTATTCTCCTGTGGATGGCACGAGGCCCTCGGAATCTGTAAGTAACGTTGTCTCTTCGAGCTCAGCAAATGACCTTGGTAGATTCTACTGTGCCTCCTGCCATGGCTGCCGGCCCAGAACAATAAGCCAGTTATTGGTGTGGCGCTGAGTCTCAGGGAAACTTCATTTCCTGATGAAGGGAGGCTCATGTCTGTGTCCTGCTGAATAGTCTGTAAGAATGCAAACCACAGACATGCCAATGAATAATGATTACGTGTTACTTTTGATGAATTAAGGCAGTGTGTTAATTATACAGTTAGTTAGCAAAACGGACTTTTGGGTGAAAATTCAAATTAGTAATATGAATTCAAAATGCCAGGAGCAAATGCAAGTCATTGCTAAACCCTGTTAATATGGGCTGGTGTTGTGAAGTCCTGATGTCTTATTATAAAGCTGTCTTAGAGCATTCCTTGACTGGCTTGTGCAAATTGCCAGAGAACTATTCAGTTTTGTAAGTAAATGAATAATTTAGAAATCAGAAATGACTAATTTGAATATGAAAGTATCAGAACACTCAAAAAGGTAAATGTATAGACTAACTTTATTTACAAGTCTTTATAAAAATAAACAATGATGAACACTACATGTGGTTTGTAAGAACATTGATTTGCATGTCCCGGTGTGTGACAGGGCATACTCAGACAATGCTGTCTTTATCCATTGCATAGAGTTGCTCTCCCGTAGTATAGAATTTCTCCCCCCCAGGGTAGAAGTCTTTTATGTTTATCTAACATTCAGGAATGTTCTTCAAGTTACTATCATGAGTGGTTATGTTTGAGAATCTTTACAACGAACATAAATGGGAGCGTGAACTGACTTGGTCTGGAGAGGAAACTTCTGAGGATAAACTGCATCTAATTATGTGGGTTGGGCAGAGATCTCAAGAAGAAGCACAAGTAGTTGGCTTTTGGCGTGTCTGGGCTCAGCTTTTTATTATCAGAGTTATTATGCTGACTAATAAAAGACTTGGTAAGCATTTGGGTTGTCATCAGGAAGAATTTGGCACTGCCTCCCCTCCAGGTTGTGGTGCCAGGAAACACCCGCACGGTGCACCTGGAGCGGCTGATTCCGGACACACCCTACTCCGTGAACATCGTGGCTCTCTACTCAGACGGGGAGGGGAATCCCAGCCCCGCCCAGGGCCGAACACGTGAGGCAGAAATCCTTTCTCCACCCCATTTTCTTCTAACTCAGTGGCTGAGCTTCTTTAAGTGAGTGAGTAGTGGGTGGAGAGTGAGAGGTCGTGAGAGCTTTTGCCACATTTGTGCAGGTGAGGCTAGGCCTAGACACTCCAGGTGAAAGCTTTGGGTCCATGCTTGCTCTTTATGCTGAGTGGACTTTATTTGGTCATATTGTCATTGAGTTAAGGCCTAAATTAGGAAGGGGTTTCTTCCCTCCTGGCCTTCAGTAGGTCTTCTCACTACATGGGTACCTTTCAAACATGAGGGCTTGGCTTCTATGTTGTGTTAAACAGGAAGTGATTATAGTGGTTAAAATCATCCTTTTTCCCCCCCAGTCTATACATTTAGGTTCAAACCTAGTTCTGTCACTGGAAGTTCAGCATATAACTGTAGCTCTGCAGGGGAGCACTTTCTACAGTTTATCTTTTCACATTAAAACCATAGAAAATGTGTATTTTATCATAGGGAATAAACAACCTAGTGAATATAGAAATACCTGAAAGGTATTAATTCCTTAATGTGACCAGGGTAAAATTCTTTTATGCCCCACCTCTGTCCCCATGTCTGTCCTGCTCACAGACATGCACATAACTCTATTGTACTTTATTTATTTAGTACCACGAAGTGGAGCAAGAAATCTGAGAGTCTTTGGGGAGACAACCAATAGCCTCTCTGTGGCCTGGGATCATGCTGACGGGCCAGTTCAGCAATATAGGATCGTTTATTCTCCCACTGTTGGTGATCCAATTGATGAATATGTGAGTCTGATTCTCATTTTCTTTTTTTTAAATAAATTTATTTATTTTTTTGAATTGTTTATGCTGTTACAGTTGTTCTATTCCCCCCTTCATTCCCCTCCACCCTGCCCCCCAACCCCACCATTACCCCCCTTTAGCTTATGTCCATGTGTCTCAAGTCCTTTAGGTTCTATATTTCCCATACTATTCTTGCCCCCCCCCATCTATTTTCTATCTACTGTCTATGCTACTTGTTTTCTGTACCTTCTCTCCCCGTCTCCTCCTCCCACTCCTCTGTTGCTAACCCTCCTTGAGATCTTCATTTCTATGTTTCCACTCCTGATCTAGCTGTCCTTTTAGTTTGCTTTCGTTTTAGGTGTGGTTGTTAATAACTGTGAGTTTGTTGTCCTTTCACTGTTCATGTTTCTTTAACTTCTTTTTCTTAGATAAGTCCCTTTAACATTTCATATAATAAGGGCTTGGTGATGATGAACTCCTTGAATTTGGTCTTATCTGAGAAGCACCTTATCTGTCCTTCCGTTCTAAATGAAAGTTTTGCTGGGTAGAGCAATCTTGGTTGTAGGTCTTTAGATTTCATGACTTGGAATATTTCTTTCCAGCCCCTTCTTGCCTGTAAGGTCTCTTTTGAGAAATCTGCTGACAGCCTGATGGGGACTCCTTTGTAGGTGATTGTCCCCTTAGCTCTTGCTGCTTCCAGGATTCTCTCCTTCGTTTTAATTTTGGCTAATGTAATTATGATATGCCTTGGTGTGTTTCTTCTTGAGTCCAACTTTTTTGGTACTCTCTGGGCTTCTTGGATTTCTTGGAAGTCTGTTTCCTTTGCCAGATTGGGGAAATTTTCTTTTATTATTTGTTCAAATAGTTTTTCCACTGGTGGTTGTGTCTTTCCCCCTTCTGGTACCCCTATAATTCGGATATTGGAGCGTTTATAGATGTCCTGGAGGTTCCTAAGCTTCTCCTCATTTTTCTGAATTCTTATATCTTCATTCCTTTCTGATTGATCATTTTTTTCTTCCTTCTGGTTCACTCCATTGATTTGAGTCCCAGTTTTTTTTTTCATCTCTATGGGTTTTCTGTGGAATTCCATTCATTTCCCTTAATTTAGCCTTCATATGTTTCTCTAATTTGTGGCTATAGTCCACCAGATCTGTGAGGAAGCTGATGACCAGTGTTTTAAACTGTGCGTCTGAGAGATTTGCTATTTCTTCGTCACTTAGATTTATCTCTGGGGCTTTGAGGTCCCCCTGCGACATTTTTGGTCTGTTCTGGCCCTTTAAGTGAGAGAACGGCCGGGGCGGCGCGCCGTCGGGCCCGGCCCCGCCCCCCACCCGCGGGTTGCCCCGGGCAGTGTCGCCGTCCGAGCCCCTCTTGGTTTGTTGTTTTGTCCGCCCTCGCTTGGTTGATGCGCAGGCAGCACATCACCTAACTCCGCGAAGTCCTCGCTTCTTACTTGAGTGTTTTGTAATAGGACCTGGTTGGAGTGTGAAATTAAGTTTTCTTCTTTAGGACTGTGCTAGGATTAGAGTCAAGTCCTTGACTCTTGTGTGCCAGTACCTTCTGTATGTGCCTAGTATGGTCTTCCACACCACAGAGAATCAATGTCTTTGGGGTTCACTTTTATTTTAAAGGTAGCTTGAAAAACTATCTTACCGAATAACATGCATATTTCTAACTATCTAATTATACCATAGGAATTAAGTCTAGTGAAACATGATACCAGTTATTCTGAGCTATCTAAATTCATGTTCAAATGCTGTGATTCTTCACACTTCTTATCATATTTTATCTCTCTAGAACCAGATTCAGGTTTCCTATAGCATCCTCATTACCCTGATTATGTATATCCATTTGTTGTGAATGGAAGAAGCCAACACTTTCTTTAAAGTTTAGTAATAGTTTAGATGGGGAAGAATACATACAATGTGGATTGTAAAGTGGTTTGGTCTGTGCTTTGCAACCATTTTACTACATACAATCTCTTTGCTCATTCTCCTTCCCTTATCTCTATGTTATATTTCATCTATTGATATATTAAGCTTTAATTTAAGTCCTAATTTTATCAGTTAGAAGCACATGTAACTGCCATTTAGTGTTTCTGCTCAAAATGACGTAAGTAGTATCGCCACACTTAGTTTGCTAAAGCAAAGATGCTCATGCTTTAGTGTTTATTCAGCCTTCCCATGTACAACTGTGCAATTTCCCTCCACTTTCCAAAAGCAGTACAAATATAATTTCTTCTCCCCGTTCACCATTTGTGATAAAGGAACTCTACTCTGGGAATCACAGTTGTAAGTTATCTATAATCTATAACATTCTAAAATCACACTGTTTATAGAAGTAAAGCTGAGGGTCAAAAGAGAGATTGAGAGATCTGATTTGTTTCCTTTCATGAAGGTAGTTAAATGCATTTTCCATTTTCATCTTTTTTCACCTACTTAGTACTAGCCAAACTGATACCCACAGTGGGCACTTGGTTAGTATTTGTTGAAGAAGTGTACAGAATCATAACACATGCTGATGAGAGATGCAGGGGGCAAACATACTACCGAGCAGGGCAGCAGTGCGTGCTGGGTGCTCAACATGTTGCTGCTCTTCACCCCCGCGGTTTCTTCCCCAGCTGCTTAGTCATAAAGCTGGTAAATGGCTAAGCTGGGACTGGAGCCCCGATCTGTCTGACTCTAGAACCGTCCTCCCATGATGCACATGGGCTGTGTGGACATCTGCCTTGCCACGAGCCATCGTGCGACAAAAAGATAATATGAAGAGAATATCACTCTCTTTGGGAATACATAAAACAATATTGTCTTTTGACCTGGAAGCCCTCTAACTGATAATAAATGTGTAATTTAACTTCCCGTGTAGACCACAGTCCCAGGCAGAAGGAACAATGTGATACTGCAGCCCCTGCAAGCCGATACTCCATATAAAATTACTGTTATTCCTATTTATGAAGACGGAGATGGCAGCCATCTAACGGGAACTGGAAGAACTGGTAGATGTCTTATGCCTTTTGTAATCTTTAAATTTTACCTTTACCAATGCAATGCAAATACTATATTAGTATTCCATTAACATTAATATTATACATTGAATTCTGTCAAAAGGATATGGGGACAGGACCTGTATTTTAAATGTTTAAAAGTCCACTTAAAGAAGAAAATGGAGAAAAAGTTCTGCATATTTTGCCTTGTTAAGATAGTTTTATTTCCCCTTTGGAAAATCTCTGAATGTTGTTTTAGTTTGTGCAGTATCAGTTAAGCTTGTAGCTGTTGACTCAGTCAATTTAGTTACAGCAAAACACTTCATCATGAAAGAATCTTGTCATAAATAAATGAGATGATTACCATTTATCTCCTCTCTTTACAAATGTAGCTTTTTAAATGAAAATTTTTTTTATTGTACCCAGTAATTTACAAAGAATTACCAATGTTTAGGCCCCTTTTCTAGCCTGCGCTGGTGGCAATTTCCTATGGTTTAGAGCAGGGGTCCCAAACCGCAGGGCAGAGGAGTGGCACCGGTCTGGGCCTGTTAAGAGCCAGGTTGAGCAGCCGGAGGTGAGCTTGAATGCAATGCACTTGAGTCATGCTGAAGCCAACACCTCCCCACCCCCCGCAACATTGGTCCATGGAAAAATTTTCTTTCATGAAACCAGTCCCTGGTGCCAAAAATGCTGGGGACCACTGGTCTAGAGTGAAGGTTCTCCAGTTAGGCTTCTCATTGGAATCACCTGAGGAGCTTTTAAAAATGCTTTTCGTGGGTGTCATTCCCAGTTACTGATGTAACTGGTCTGAGGTGCGGCTTAGACCTGCCGATGTTCTAATGAGCCCAGGTTGATAGCCACTGTTTTAGAGTAAAGACACGCTAACTGTACATCTGATTTCTGTTACTGGTAAATATTGGCATCCTTTTTTCCACTCCATTCAGCATGATTTCAGGATCCTTATTACGCCCAGTGGCCCAAACTCTTTTTGTGCTTAAATGACCTTGGCAACATGATAGAATTTCGGAGAGAGTTAACATGAACGCTCTTAGGAGAAGAGCAGGGCTAGAGTTGTTTCAGCTCAGTGTCTCAAGGCCAGGAATATGTATTTATTGATACCTCCTGTCTATAGGACTGAGGCAATGAAGACTCAGCTTAGTGATTTTAACTTAAAATCAGGATGATTTAATTTAACAACTTCCCGTTTTTTATTTTCCCTTAGGTTTTAGAATATATTTTGGTACTTTTTTGGGGAAAGGTGTTTGGACTAAATAGTCTCTAAATTGCTTGTTGGTTCGAATAATCTGTAATCTATAACATTCTAAAAGTGGAATTTTTTTGAAATTTTCTATCATTCTGCATCATATAAAACACCAGCTTTGGAAGTCACCGGTTGCTGAATCTATTTGAATTGTAGTTTGATTTGAAAAACTCCCATGCTTTCTGTTGAACATTCCAGTATGTCTTGTTTTCTGGATAAGAACTTATAGGACATTATAAAATTTCTTTCATGGTGTTGCACTATCAGTACTTACAATCGTACTCAGAAAACTCTATGCTCTCCCTGTGTGTCAATGAAAGGTCAGTAACGCGTGTCCATATTTGTTTGCAGTGGGACTACTTCCACCTCAGAACATACATATCTCTGATGAATGGTATACAAGATTCAGGGTATCCTGGGATCCTTCACCCTCTCCAGTTCTTGGATATAAAATTGGGTACAAGCCAGTGGGTAAGAAAGCACTTTTATCATCACAGAAATGCAATGGAGAGTGTTTTTGAGTATGAGGGTATTCTTTGTTGCATCCCCTATGATTACATTCTACTGACAATTTAGTTATCACATCAGGTCCTCCTTGATCAGAGGTAATGTTTCTGGAAAGAGTATTTTAAGCCAATGATCTAAAGTATTATTACTGTGGGTGTAGGTGAGATTCTCATTTGTTTACATGGCTAAAAAATTTTACGTGGTTCACCAAATTCCATGAATTGAAGGTATTTGTGTTCAGACATCTACATGTTATTAAGATTATGAAATAGTGCATATTTAATCAATACAAAGTTCTGTATTTTTCCCTCTATGTCAGTATTATTCCATTTGGAGGATATGTATTTTAGTTTATTTATAACAAGTTTGCTTTCAACTTGCCATCAACACTTTCATTTAAACAGATATCACCTTTATTAAAGCATTTGCTATATTCTATGTTCTGTCTATACTCTTAAAACAGTGGAAGAAAAATATTCTTTGTACCAGATTTTCTGGGGCACGTTTCAAGTATCCAGGAAGGGCATGAACCTTTTGAAATTTCCTGGAAATTTTTCTCTAGAAAAACATAAAGAGAGGGAGTAAGAGCAAAGGAAGGTGAGCTTGTGTAAGAAATGGAGAGAGAGCTTGAAGGAGGAAGAGGTGTCAGTAACTGAGGACCTTCAGTCACTAAGCTCATGCAATGAGACCCAAGATGGTCGTTCTTAAATCATCTCCACCATACACTGAAAAATGTCAACTGCATACCTACCATGTGCAAAGCACTATGCTGTCAAAGTGAGGCTTAGAGAAGAGGCTTGAGGGTCTAGAGTAGTCTTGGGTGATTCATTTATTCAGTAAAGGAACACTGATTACATATCTGTTACATCCCAGGTGCAGTGCTGTGCTTTGAGAACCAGAGGGTACAGGATCCAGAGTCTGCTAACAGTTTTGTATTCACCACATACTGTCGTATGTGCTGCAGTGAACAAGTGCATAAGGGGTTTTAGAACTAGTGGTGTTCATACTATCATTTGAGTATAAGTTAAGGCATTTTGATTTTAGGAAGAATTTTAGACTAGTGATGAGATATGTCTGTGTGTTTTTTTGTGATTGTTGTTAAAGGTTCCAGTGAGCCCATGGAAGTCTTTGTGGGGGAGGTGACCTCATACACATTACACAACCTCAATCCCAGCACCACCTATGACGTCAGTGTCTACGCTCAGTATGATTCTGGACTCAGTGTCCCCCTGGCAGACCAAGGCACTACATGTGAGTTACCTGTATTTACGTGGTTGTAAAGAAATGTGGAGTACAAATGACTAGGTCAGCCTGCTTTAATTTTACTTCTTAACATATACATGTTTCTTCAGCGCTAAATGGTTGTGACACTTTTGTGTCTAGCTAAATAAATATACAAGTGATACAATTCACTATACAAAAATGTATATGACAGAATGTTTAGTTCACAAAAATGTTATAGTTTGAGTTTTGACAGATAAAAATTGTAATTTCATGTCATCATGAATGACATGACATTTGATGTGAAAACATATATTAGGCAAGTGTAAGTTCTGGCAGAAGTACTGCCTGTCTGAAAGTGGTTGGTAGGGTAATAATATGGTGCAGTAATTTAGAGTTTTCATTTGGATGTATAATCTACAATGTCATATGGTGTGCTTGAGTGTGATATTGTTATGTTACAGAATTACAATGCTTATGATTCTGTAATAAAAGTCTTTGAAATAAAATAGGGGTGTATTTGTGCTGGACCCTGGACATTAATTCAATTGAAAATTTCACAGAAATGCCATGATTATTAATACAGCCCAGATAGATTTTGTTTTTTTTTTTATTTTCCATGAGACATCTTTGACATTGGTGATGTTGAGAGGGCCTGTGTGGAATTTCTTTCCTCTTGAAGATCAGTGACAGAAAAGGAGATCTGTTTTCATCATGCCACATTTTCATGTGTAAAAAAAATAGCAAAAAATTTTAGACCTTTTTTAGCCATTGCGAAAGTTTTAAAATTTTGTTGTGATTAAAAATATGCTTTTCTGCCTTTATTTACCAAGTAAATCTGTTATTTTTTCTTTATTTTGTAGTGTATTTAAATGTGACAGATCTGAAAACTTACCAGGTTGGGTGGGATACATTCTGTGTCAGATGGTCACCTCACCGGGCAGCCACCTCCTACAGGCTGAAGCTGAGCCCTGCAGATGGTATGTGTGCAAAACAAAAACTGGAGCACATAGTAGCAAAATTTTTAACCTTTTAAAAATTTTAACTGCAAAATTTTAACCTTTGTGACAACATGGATGGACTTGGAGAACATGCTAAGTGAAATAAGCCAGTCAGAGAATGAAAAGTACCATACAATTTCACTCATACTCATATGTGGAATCTAATGAACAAACTGAACTAACAAGCAAAATAGAGACAGGCTCATAGATAAGAGAGCAGGATGACAGATCTGGGGTGGGTTAGGGGTTGGGAGGGTGGAAGGATCAAGCAAAAAAGAAAGCAATCTCATGGACACGGACAACAGTGTGGTGGCTGCAGTGGGGAGGAGGGTGGGTGGAGGTGGGAGAGGGTATGAGGAGAATGAATAATAATGGAAAAATAGAATAAAAAATAATTTTTCAAAAAAGGTGCCATTTTATTTACGAAATTATGTACGAAATGTCTTTAAATGTAATTGATGATGACACTGACATTTTCATTTGTTGTCATAATCAGGAACCAGAGGGCAGGAAATCACAGTGCGTGGATCGGAAACCAGTCACTGCTTCACTGGCCTTTCACCAGACACCGATTATGGTGTCACTGTTTTTGTGCAGACACCAAACCTTGAGGGTCCTGGCGTGTCTGTCAAAGAACATACCAGTAAGTTTTTGAGTAACCTGGAATGTGTCTTTTAAGGCTTCAGAATAGAACGTTCTAGCTGTGGAATACTTACGTAACTCCCATATAGGTGCTTCTCCGTATAAGTAGAAGTAATGATGTAATGATGGCAGGTTCTTGAAGGTGGAGTCTGTGGCTGGTTCAGGACCTTTATCTGCAGGAAATCCATGTTGCCCAGTTACACAGTTGATGTTATTTTAAGGAAAGGGCTAAAGGAAGGAGATATGGTTCTAGCTGACAATGAGGAGTTGACATGCATCTGTACTAGTGACTTTTATTCATTTGGTCCTATCTGAAGGCCTTATGTTAACCCTTTGAATATTGGCTTTGCTTTTTGCAGCTATAGTCAATGTTGAATGACTATAAATGATACTAAATTTGGATAAAATGGATTTCCCGGTGTGTCCATGCCAATGAGACAATTTGTCATCAAGGATTTACATCACTCTTAAAATTTACCTTCTGTGATATGAAATGTGCATACTTTGTGCTTTTCTAATCATTATTTTTAAATTTCTAGCCTTAAAACCAACAGAAGCTCCTACAGAACCACCCACACCTCCTCCTCCTCCCACAATTCCACCTGCTCGAGATGGTAAGTACAGCTAATTTGGCAATTTAATATGTAAGAAAGGATTTATTGCCTTCTTCACAGCTGTTATTGCATCACAGCCTGTACATTATTTACAATAGATATAGAACATTTCTGATTTATTATTCTCATTCAAGAGTTTTTAGAGAAGAAAAGATTTCCAGTAATATGCTCTCCCCCTCCAGGAACATTTTGGTGTGAATAGAATTAGTCACAAACTACTCTAGCTCTTTTTCATTAATTTTGCAGATTAATGTCTCATGATACCATACATAGTCCCTGGTGGGCATTTCTTTCTGTGGGCTGCTGGCATCAATAGGAGCCACAGATCTTTTTGGCTATCTCTGTAAGCTACCCCCTGGGCCAGTGGCTTTGGGAATCCTGGTTTCTGACTTGAGAAGTGCCCTGTAGTGCACAAAGCTAAAACACTTCTACTCACTAAAGTCTGAGGCATAGTTGTTACTCGCAGTGAACCAGTAAAAACACATACTGTTAAAGCCGATCTCTTAGTAATTTGAGACAGTTCTGTGCTATATCAAATTAAGTTTAAATTCATTAATCACTCATTTATTTTCCCCCATTTATTTAAGTTTGTTTTCAGTGTTTAACTGAAAGCATTTCAGATTTTAAAAGCATTTTTATAATCTCGGAAGGCTGTACATCCTGCCACAACTTCTCTAAGCCTATTAAATGAGATAAAACCTAAAAGTGTATTGTTATAGGGTAAAACAATAATGGGTTTCTTTAGATTGTTGAGATTCTGTAGATAACCTTGGCTTGTTGAGCTTATTTTTAATAGACTTTATTTTTTAAAATAGAGCCATTTTAGTTTGATGACAAAATTAGGTAGAAAGTGCATAACATTACCTGAGCCTGCACATGCATCGCCTCCCCCAGCACCAACCTCTCCGTCAGAGTGGCAACTTTCATAATCCACGAGCCCATACCATGCGTCATTATCACCTGAAGTCCACAGTTTATACTTCGGTCCACTCTTCGTGTTGTACATTCTACATTTTATGTTTTTATACACTAAAATGTTAAATTTTTATTTTCAGAATTTCTTTTAGCCTCCAAGTTTGAAGATTCAGTTAAAATATTTATTGCATTCCACTCCTTGCTTCCCACCCTATGATTCCAGTGGCCTAATTTAAAATTAAAAGACACCTTATTTGCACCAAATCTTTGATAAGTATATGCAGAGTTTCCAAACTGTTAAGTTCTGGACATGGTTGCTTTGCTTTCCTTTTATATCCTCCTCATTTGTTGTTGGAAGCTACTTGAAGAGTTCCATGAGAAAAAAGCATATATCGCATAATGAATCCAAATAGATGAAGTAATTCCGGAGCAGAAATTGAGGACAACTGGATTAGTAGCCAGGTGTTTGTCTACATTTCTCAGTTGTATAATTTCACTTGAATGAAAGAATTCATGAGATTTGGGGCTTCCTTTGTTGTTTTTTTTATTTCCCCAGTATGCAAAGGGGCCAAGGCAGATATTGTATTCTTGACTGATGCCTCCTGGAGTATCGGGGATGATAATTTTAACAAAGTTGTCAAGTTCATCTTCAATACTGTGGGAGCCTTTGATGAAGTCAATCCTGCTGGAATTCAGGTGGGTGTCACTATTCACTTGTAATGCCTTACTATATCCTTTGAACTTCTCTTTAAAAAAATGTTTTGTTGTTGTTCAACTACAGTTGTTTCCGTTTCCCCCCATTACTCTCCCCTTCCCTACTCACCCCCACCTCCCACATTCAATCCTCCCCCTACCATTTTCTTTGTCCATGGGACCTTTATACATGTTCCTTGACTTGACTCTTCTTTCCCCTGCTATCCCTCCACCTCTAGTCACTTTCAGTTTTTGTTCTTTATTTCCATGTCTCTGGTTCTATTTTGCTCATTTGTTTTGTTGATTAGGTTTCACTTATAGGTGAGATCATATGGTATTTGTCTTTCACCATCTGGCTTATTTCACTTAGCATAATACTCTCCAGTTCCATCCATGCTGTCATGAAGGGTAGGAGCTCCTTCTTTCTCTCTGTTGCATAGTATTCCATTGTGTAAATCTACCATAGTGTTTTGATCCTCTCATTTACTGTTGGGCACTTAGGCTATTTCCAGCACTTGGCTGTTGTAAATAATGCTGCTGTGAACATTTACTTCTCGTTTTGACTTTTTTATTTGACATTTTCATTACACATGTATTTTGGGGAAGGAGTTATGTGTAAATTATAAATAAGCATAAAAATATTCCTTTAGGCATTTTGTGCAACTTCTATCTAACTCATTGACTCCTTAAAGCAAGAGACTATATTGTATTATTATCCTTTTGAATTTTCTTTTTTCCTTCCTCATTCCTTTTGATGAATTTTCTTCTTTATTTTGGCAGTTTATACTTTTTCATTGAGGCATTTTAGAGGCATTTGAAAATAAGAGATTTTGACATAAACCACAAATAATTTCATAAACAAATTATGTCTTCTTTTTTGGAAGTGTACTTTAGGGACTATACTAGATTTCAAATCCCCAAATAACCCTGTGGATATTATTCCAACCCAGGAAGAGTAAAAAGTCAGGCCATTATATTCTCAATTTAATGTGTCAAAAACTAAGCCATTTTTCCATTCTTTTAGAAATTTAAAATATCTAATAGAAAATTAAAATATAGCTATCATATTGTATTAATGCCTATGTGCCAGCTACTTTCATACATGATTACTATACATGTCTTCAAAACAACCCTCAAAAGTAAAAATAATTATCTCCATTTCACTGATGAGGAAACCAAAGCCCAGTGATGTCGGAAACTTGCCCAGTGTCACGTGGCTATTGCCCGGCAGGGCTAGGATTTCAGGCCAAGGTTTCCTGACTACAGAGACTATCCTCTTTCCACTAACTCACACTGCCACTCAGTTCGTGATGAGTGCTGCTATCATCCTACATGAGATAGTGTTTTATTAGCATAACGAGTGCATGTGGTCAGTGGGAAGGAGCAGTTAACTGCAGAAACAGTTGCTTAGCCAACGTTTGAGTTCAAGATACTGTGTCTCATTTTTAATTTTGAAACCTCGCTGCCCCCCCAATTTTACCCATCCCTTCCTATATCCTGGAGGAAGGTACCATATGAATATAGTGTATTCAAATTTTAATATCAATTATTGTCAATTTCACAGAAGATTAGAAATTAGATGATTTGATGAGACAACAGTAGTCAGTGTTATAATACCAGCTATAAAGAGCTTATAATTCTCTGTCAGGTCTGAGTCACTTCTTTTTCTTATTCTGCAGCCAGAGGAATCATTGGAAAATTGAAACAAAAAAAGAGATGGCATTTTCACCACAAACCATATTTTTTTTTCAGGTCTCATTTGTGCAGTACAGTGATGAAGTCAAGTCTGAGTTCAAGCTGAACACATACGACGACAAGGCCCTAGCCCTCGGGGCCCTCCAGAACATTAGGTACAGAGGAGGAAACACAAGAACAGGTACAGTTGATCAGCGTATACATAGATCTTCACTCTCCAGAGTGCTTGGAGTGGAAGGACTGAGTATATCATCTCACTCATATTCTTATCAGTTGAGCACTGGGGTGACACTAACATGTTCAATGCCACACTCTGTAGGTAAGGCTCTCACATTTATCAAGGAAAAAGTCTTGACCTGGGAGAGTGGAATGAGGAAGAATGTCCCCAAAGTGCTCGTTGTGGTCACAGATGGTCGGTCACAGGACGAGGTCAAGAAAGCAGCTTTCGTCATACAGCAGTCAGGTAAGCCAGGCAGGCATTTGTTACCCAGTGATTGCACTCATTTTTTTTAACAGTTTTAAATGTTCAGGAATGATTGCAAACCCTGCCCTAAGATTTGCTGATTTTACTTTATTGTTTCTGTTTAATCTGTACTTCATACCTTTAATTTATATTTAATTGTGGAATAGTTTGGTAAGTCCTCAAAAATAACATGGTATATATTCTTTGTATGAGATGTGACTCAGGGTCTGTCAATGAGCAAGCTAAATTTCCTCACGGTGGCTGGGAGGCTACAGAATGGAATAATGGGATGACCTTAGAGCATTTCCTGCCATAGCAGCAGTGAGCCTTGATGTGGGTCCCCATGTAGGGACAGACACAGGAAAGCCTTCATTGTGTCACAGCATTGAAGATGCAGGCTCAAAGCAGCTTCTTGAGAGGTACCCTGCACAGAAAGAGCAGCCAGGGCTCAGGGACACATTGCTGGGGTACATCTTGGCAAGCAAACATCCTGAGCACTTACTGCCTTTTGGATTTGTTATTTAGGGTTATTAGAGATGGAGCAAGGTCTTTCCAGTACTTGCATCAATACCATCTGTACCCCCTGAGCCCAGGAGGGCCCAAGGTGGACATATGTTGTTCATGATCTATTGTGGTAATTGCATGGTTACATGGAATTGCACTGATCTTTTTATAAATTATTACCACTATGTTATGCATTTTGAGCAGATTTCAGCATATTTCGTGCTCCTAGCTGACTTAAGTTTTGGGTTATTAATGCTTACCTCTCATGTTACCTTATTAATACCTAATTATGTAACTAATTCTTTATACAGTTTATTTTTTAACAGTCAAATCAGCTTTTGGAGTGAAAACTTTGTTTATTTGTGTTAATTTAGATAAATGAAAGTTATTGACAGTGGGGATTGTACATTCTGTTTTAAAAGTGACCAAACTGCTGCCATTGAGCCTGAGTTTATTGAGAAAATCAGTCTCAAGAATCAGATTTTTAAATGAGCCCATTCTTGCTTTCTGGGTCACATAAACTTAAAGTGTTAATAACAGTGCCTAAGAAAGCTATAGACTTTATGGGTGTATCAGGACTGTAGATCTGTGGAGGTAAATGTATACCATGTCAAATTTTTCTGCTAATAAAATGTTTGCCTCTTGTTGGGATTTTATTCTAGGAAATCTAATTAGCTGAATTTTATAAGCCAGAAAATAGGAAGACCTGAAAAAAAGTACATACTCATTAAAGACAGTTTGTGTAAATTAAAAGTACTTGCTGCATGCACTGAGAAATACAGCATCAGCCCTGATAAGATTTTATTTTGAGTCATTTAAACAGCAAAAGACAGGGAAAGGGCTATGTCACTCACGTATAAACACTGCTCTGCAGGGTTCAGCGTTTTTGTGGTTGGTGTGGCCGATGTCGAGTACAATGAGCTTGCCAACATTGCCAGCAAACCAAGTGAACGGCACGTGTTCATTGTGGATGACTTCGAGTCCTTTGAGAAGATAGAAGACAATCTCATTACATTTGTCTGTGAAACTGCCACCTCTAGTAAGTCATGATCCACATGGATTCATAATCTCATTTGTTTTGAAAAATAACTACTTGGTAGGCCATTCTCTATCCTATATGGGATTAAGTGTGAGCATGGGTAGATCTTGGGAAATCCCTTGAGAAACTGATGAACCATTGTTCCTATTGAGATTGTGCTAAATGTGTACTTGTCAGAGGTCTGTTTTAAGCCTTGAAGATGTAATATAGTCCTTGTATGGAAATAAAATGGTTTAATACATCCTTTTCCCACAATCTCAATGCCTGCGACAGTTGAGCAAATTAATCTACAGCTTTAGGCATGCAATTGCGGAAGCATTTCTGTGAGATGAAGGTTTTCCCAATTAGTGATCAATGGGTATTCTGTCAACATCCATGCTTCAAGGGACTGATGAAAACACTCATTTGGACATGTGCGCTCCATAGAAATTTACTTGGTTCCCATTTTTTTTTTTTTTTAGTGTAGATTTTTCTTGTTATTCCTACATCTCAAGTTCAACTCTTAAAATGCAGTAAAGTACACATGTTGATTATTTTTGTCAATTTATTCTCTTCCCAATCTATTAGCACTGATTCTTGGTGTATTAGATTATGGATACAGTTATGTGGCTAGTCTAGACTCTTAATCCTAGACAAGCCTATGTTTTGTAAAGGTCATATTTTCCCCTTTTAAACACTATATTAAAACCTCAGAACTCTGGTGGGAGGTGGCAGTAGTAGACAAATGCCAGTGCTTTAGTCTGAAAACTGACCTTGCAGCTCAGAAAGGAGCTGTGCCGGTGAAAGGTGCGTAGGGAACTACAGTTGTCTCGCTTCTACTCTCTGTGGCCCTGAAAGCCGCTCTCTTTCTGGGTATCCCCAGCTCTGGGGGGCCCAGGGTGGAAACCGCTGCACACTTGTCATTGTTCCTTGATGTTCGGTAGGCAGTGTGGGGCTCTGGGGCTGGGCAGAGAAGAGGAGAGGGGGTTGGGTAGGGACAGAGTCCTACTGCCTTTGCATAAATCTGAAATTCCTTGGGTGAAATAAAAGTTCTTTAATCTATTGAAAAACATCTGAAATTTCCCCTTTAATTGTATTTTACTATTCTTAAGAACACTGTAAAATTCTAATTGGACTGGAGTATGGTCAGAAAACATTGCTAATACTGGTCGATAGTATAATTTCTCCTACAAGCAGAAAGAAATCCACTATAAACAATTAGATGGATGTCAGTTTTTATAAATGCATGAACAAGTTCTTTACCTGACGTATGTACATAGCTGCTTTCTGTACATATACAATATTTGCTTATCATGTTGGTGAATCATACTTAAAGAACACTGTACATTGCAGGTTGTCCTCTCATTTATTTGGATGGCTACACCTCACCAGGTAAGCATGTACAAGCTTGTGCTAATTTATTTCAGGATTTAAGCAATTAAATAATTTAAGTGGCCTCATTTCAATGTTTTCTTTTCCGATGTGAAGGTTTTAAGATGCTTGAAGCCTACAATTTGACAGAAAAGACTTTTGCTTCCGTACAAGGGGTCTCTTTAGAGTCGGGGTCTTTCCCCAGCTACTCCTCTTACAGGCTGCAGAAGAACGCCTTTGTGAATCAGCCTACCGCGTAAGTGTGATGACGGGGCTCTTTTTCTTTTAACGGGTGAGAGCTTTTTGAGGTTCTTGGAATTTTTGCAGACTTCTTGGAATCCTGGCACTTTATATTTGTCCGAAGACTCCTTATGAATGACCTAGATTGATCTTTAAAAATACAGTTGGGTTAAGTGTCTTTCACAGGGTCACACAGGAGAAGGACTCAAGCCTTGCTCTCCTCAGAATGAAGAATCTCATTCTGGGTCTGCAGTATCATGCGTTGCTGACCCTTTTGAATCTAAGGCTAGGACTGCAGCTATGCTTTTTCTCAAGGAGTTTGTTTAAGCACTAAGGCAACTTATGATTTGGAACACTCCTCCCTGAGGTGCAGAGGGACTGATGGAATAAGTGCAGACAGAGAGCAGCATTCTTCCCCATGTTTCAGGCCTCTGGAAGATGAAAGCGCTCTGCTTGTCCGTGTTCGGGCAGTCAGTGGTTAGTTTTTATTGGGCAGTGCTCTGGAGATCTGTTGGGTAGCTCTAGATGTTGTTACCATATTTTACTCCTCATGAAAGCTTGCACCTGGGAACGATAAGCAAAATACGTATTTCTTATTCATTAGAATGAAAACATTTTAATCTTGAAAAATATGTGTTTGGCAACTTATAGAGAGAAAAGAACATGAAGAAATAAAGCTTTCAGTAACTTAGGACGGGGTCAGAAAATGCTGTCTGAAATTTAAAATGCTCTGGGAAAGCTGATGGAAAATTCAGACTAAAACCAAAACTAGTTTCTTTTAAGGAAGCAGAAATCACATTTGTAGTTTGACTACGCAGTTCCTAGCTTTTGGATGTTCAACCACGCAGGTTCACAGTTTCAGCTTCTTCAGCCAACCTCAATCCCTGTGTTTAACTCTTAGTCACCTCCGGATAGGATGCCTGCATTTTAACTAATGACAGCCTGCTGTCCTCTGTGGTCAGCACTGGTGGCTGAAAGAAGCATAAGTACAATTCAATTATTATTGTTTTCATAAGGACTCATTAACTGAGAAAGAAGAAAAATGGGCAAGGTTAGACGTGAATTAATATGAAGGAGATACTATTTTTAATGAGATATTATGAAGACAGTAGGCTTTGGAACACATAAAAGCTATTGTGTCAGCTTGCCCAGAACATGTGTTTCAAGAAGTAAGGCAGGATTGTGTTCCAGAAGTGCCAGTGGTATGGTACAAGGACTTGAAACCTCAAGAGACATGCTGTGCTCTCTGTCAAAATTCGTAGAAGTTTCTCTTCTAAGAGTTGATGATCAAGGCCTTTTTTTCTACCTTCAGAAATAAAGTGTTATTAAATGGTCTCACAGAAAACCATCAATCTTGTTTCAATGATTCCTTCTGCATAATGGTTAAGTGAGCTCTGGAAGGATACATGGAACCACATTTTTTTCCTTTTTTTGTCTAACAGCCTTAGAGCAAAGATATATTTCCTTTTAACTGAATTATATCCCTTTATCACCACTAAACGTTTGCACATGTACATGACCTTAACATTTATTACTGGTTTTATCTTTGTGAACATGTGAACTTCTGGAGATTAGTTGATTTATCTTACTTCAAGGGAAACATTTGGAAGTGTAAAACCTATTAGAGAAAGCAAGGAAGAAATTAAAACCTTAAGTTACCTTATGATCTTATGCCCTTGATGGAAATTACGTATATCTACTGAGATTCATTCTCTTAAAATTACATTCATAGGTTTAATGTTTATCACTCTAAAATTATTGCATAATTTTATAATAATTTATATGTCTAGAAGAAATTTGTTATTGGGATAAAAGACTCTTTGGCCATTACCCAGAGTTTTGAGACCTTAGCAGGTTAGAAAGGATCCGTTACTACATACAGAATGGAGCCTTGGTGCTTGTTCCTTGGATGTCCTTCCTAAATTTTCCATCCTCTGATATGTCGCCAGATTGTATTAGACCAATCTTAAGACTACTGATAATGAGATTCTGGTCCACAGTTTTAAAATATTCTCTATTTCTGATGAGAAATCCTTATTAATTCATTCATTTATTTGTTTTATCCAACAGAGAACTACACCCAAATGGACTCCCTCCTTCATACACAATTATATTATTGTTCAGACTTCTCCCAGAAACTCCCAATGACCCTTTTGCAATTTGGCAAATCACAGATAGAGACTACAAACCACAAGTTGGGGTGATTGCAGATCGTAAGGATTTTTATCTTATTTGAAGATACATACACACATATTGTTGATTGCGTTTTCTCTGTTTTCTTTAAGAACCTTCTGAACAAATGGGATGGGTCAAAAGTAGGTTTATAGTTGGAAGTATGTAGAACAGGTTATTTTTGTATTATTGTTTGTTAATTATGATATTATTTTCTTTTTTTAAAATTAATTTATTTTTTTTAATTGATTATGCTGTTACAGTTGTTCTATTCCCCCCTTCATTCCCCTCCACCCTGCCCCCCCAACCCCACCATTACCCCCCTTTAGCTTATGTCCATGTGTCTCAAGTCCTTTAGGTTCTATATTTCCCATGCTATTCTTGCCCCCCCCATCTATTTTCTATCTACTGTCTATGCTACTTATTTTCTGTACCTTCTCCCCCCATCTCCTCCTCCCACTCCCCTGTTGCTAACCCTCCTTGAGATCTTCATTTCTATATTTCCACTCCTGATCTAGCTGTTCTTTTAGTTTGCTTTCATTTTAGGTGTGGTTGTTAATAACTGTGAGCTTGTTGTTCTTTCACTGTTCATGTTTCTTTAACTTCTTTTTCTTAGATAAGTCCCTTTAACATTTCCTATAATAAGGGCTTGGTGATGATGAACTCCTTGAATTTGGTCTTATCTGAGAAGCACCTTAACTGTCCTTCCGTTCTAAATGAAAGTTTTGCTGGGTAGAGCAATCTTGGTTGTAGGTCTTTAGATTTCATGACTTGGAATATTTCTTTCCAGCCCCTTCTTGCCTGTAAGGTCTCTTTTGAGAAATCTGCTGACAGCCTGATGGGGACTCCTTTGTAGGTGATTGTCCCCTTAGCTCTTGCTGCTTCCAGGATTCTCTCCTTCGTTTTAATTTTGGCTAATGTAATTATGATATGCCTTGGTGTGTTTCTTCTTGAGTCCAACTTTTTTGGTACTCTCTGGGCTTCTTGGATTTCTTGGAAGTCTGTTTCCTTTGCCAGATTGGGGAAATTTTCTTTTATTATTTGTTCAAATAGTTTTTCCACTGGTGGTTGTGTCTTTCCCCCTTCTGGTACCCCTATAATTCGGATATTGGAGCGTTTAAAGATGTCCTGGAGGTTCCTAAGACTCTCCTCATTTCTTTGAATTCTTGCTTCTTGACTCTTTTCTGTTTGGCCATTTTTGGTTTCTTCTGGTCCACTCCATTGATTTGAGTCCCAGTTTCCTTTTCATCTCTATGGGTTTCCTGTGGAATTCCATTCATTTCCCTTAATTTAGCCTTCATATGTTTCTCTAATTTGTGGCTATAATCAACCAGATCTGTGAGGAAGCTGATGACCAGTGTTTTAAACTGTGCATCTGAGAGTTTTGCTATTTCTTCGTCGCTTAGATTTATCTCTGGGGCTTTGAGGTCTCCCTGCGACATTTTTGGTCTGTTCTGGCCCTTTAAATGTGAGAAACTGCGCCTTGGACTCCCAGGTCGCTGGGTTGTGACGCTGTATGTGGGGGCGTGGTCAGAGCGGGGAAATGGCGGCGCCCTCTATCGCCGCTGCGGCCGGTCCGACCGCTCACTCCCTCACCCGCGCGCAACCGGGCAACCACAGTCAACTTGCTGCCACCGCCTCCCCACTGACTCCTCCAGAGTCGCTCACCCGGTGGGCCACTCGGTCGCTCACTAGGTCCAATCCTGGGTTTGGAACCCGTGCGTCTGGATTCGCGCGTCTGGATTCCGCGCCCGGGTCCGACCGAGCCCTCCCTTGCAGCTCCTCACTAGACGCCGGTTTCGCCCCTTACCGGTCGGGCTGAAGAATTTGTTGTTAGCGGACTTCCGAAAAGTTCAGTTTTCCGTGTTCTGGTTGTGTTTTCTGATGCTAATATTTAGTTGTCCCTAAACTTGGTTGTGTGAGGAGGCACGGCACATCCACCTAAACCTCCATCTTGGCGGAAGTCCTCAATTATTATATTATTTTCTATATGAACAACTGTAAACCTACTTTCGACCCACTCTTTATACTCATATATTACTTGATATATGCTTTTATGTTTAAAGTTTTAAGACTACAACATATTAGTAAATATTCTAATTATGTTTTATCTCAACTAAAATTATTGAATTTTTAAACACCTTACCAGAAAGTGTCATCTGTTAATACTTTCAATATAAAGTATACCATGCACGTGACTTAGTAACAATTATGTGTTGATTATAGCTTCTAGCAAGACATTATCATTCTTCAACAAGGATACAAGAGGTGAAGTACAGACTGTTACGTTTGACACAGAAGAAGTGAAGACATTATTTTATGGAAGTTTTCATAAGGTAAAAAGATCATTGAGTTACAGAAAAAAGAATATGACTTAAAATTTTAAATTACTTTATTACTCATTAAAATATCATGTTAAATTGATAGGATTATAGCTATATCTTTTAAAAATAAAAATCTTATGCTAATATCTTTTCAAATACAAGAAGAATGCTTATTTTCTTCTATCTACCATTTCATTGTGAACCATTACATCTTTTCATTTCTAAAGCTTACTTTTTTATTATATTTTAATTAATAGAATTATTATTTTATGGAGCCGCTTCTCCTTGATTTTGTTCACTGTGAGGTGGCAGACATGCCAATGTAAGTTACTAGTACCTACCAAAGCAATGAGGATAAGTGTTTATAGGATTAATTTTTACATGAACACACTATTAAATTTCTAAAATATCTTATTAAAAGTTCTAAGGTGCATTCTTAGGTGATTGTCTATATTTGTTCATCTTGGTTTTTTGTATGTTAACATCCAAGGATAATAGAGACTTTCTAATGTTTTTCAAGGTTAATTGACAACTAAGGGTACTGAGGTTTGGAATAGTAGAAAGGAAAAGAACAATCTAGGTTAGGAATGGACTTTTTAATAGTATTTCTTCATCCATTTAGTTAGCAGGCAGAATACCTCTGGATCCGCTAGTGCTCTAAAAGTCCTCTAGTGTGGCACTCAGAAAATTAGTCCCATACATAGAATACAAATATTTCCAGTTTAATCTGATGCTCAAGTGAAAATGGAAGAACTTTCCTATATTTGAGTAGATTTAGCTGTCTTTTTTGCTGATTCTGTTCGTGAATATTTCATTTCTTTTCAGAATGTTTTTCTTTTTCATGAATTAGATTCTTAGTAAAGATGGCAAATGACTCCTCAAACTCAAAGAAGCTTCATGGTGTGAACATTAGTGAGAAGCAAGATACAATGAAGGAAAAACAATGATCTTTGAGTATAATGGCATATCCTCTTACCAGTTTATTGACTTTTATGGTGAAGTGCAGTAAAGTAAATGTTTCACTGGGAAAGCAAATTCTACTTTGATAAATATTAGCTTCAACTGCTCCTTATCTGATAATAGATGTTGAATCTGGCAAAGTTATTATGAAGCTTTTTGGCTCATTGATAAACCTATTAACTTACATTTGAGTAATTTGCTAAAAAGAACTATTTTGTTTTTTCTTCCATACCCACTGCAGATTTAGAAATTTAATTTTTTGTTAGTCAACTTATAACTATTTATTTATTTCAAATAATGCATATATATATATATATATATTTATTTATTTATTTATTTATAGGCAGAGGGGAAGGGAGGGAGAAAGAGGGAAAGAAACATCAATGTGTGGTTGCCTCTTGTGCACTCTCTACTGGGGACCTGGCCAGCAACCCAGGCATGTGCCCTGACTGGGAATCAAACCAGTCATCCCTTGGTTTACAGGCTGATGCTCAATCCACTGAGCCACACTAGCCAGGGCTATTTTGTTAATTTCAAACTTTTATTGAATGCTTCATTCTCAGTATTTTGTTGAGGTCTATAGTGACAGTCGGTATTGCAAATGAACATAATTTTTGGTAATACTTTTTTATTTGCCTTTATAGAAAGGTGTTTGTATTATGTTTTTCTTCTTATAAGCTCTGTTCTCTCCTCAAATTCTCTACCTTTTTCCATAACGTATGTATTTCTTTTACTAGTTCCTCCTCTGCTTTTTCACTATACTCTTTTTCTTCCTCTTCCTTTTCCTTATCTCATTCTTTTAACCTACTCTTATTCTATCCATTCAAGTACCAAGTTCAAGCACTGTTGGCTATTTATATTCTTTACTGATTCAAGAATTCAAACACTCTTCTTTCATTTTCCATTTAATCCAGGAACCCAAATCCTTCATTCCTTGGGTTAATGAGTGATACTCCAATAGCAGGAAATGAGTGAAAATGACATGCAGGGGGCTCTTGGGAAAGAGAGGGTAGGTTAAAAGAACTTAGGTGGGGAATGGCAGACTGCTATTGTTTCTCAAAAATTGTCTTGGAAAGTTTTTTTTTTTTGTCTCCATTCTGTTGTAACAAATAACATAGTTCCAAGTGAGAAATTTATAATATAAAGAAAAAGAGGAATAGATGAAAAATAAAATTTTGGTAATGGCAGAGCTCAGGACAGGAGATGAATTGGCAAGAATGTCCCTATTTCTTTCTGCTGGTCTGTGACCAACAATGTTTCATAGTTGGGAAATAGTCCCTACATTCTTAGAACAATGATATACAGATGAAGGGCCCACTCTGAATTATGATTATGCATGTGTTTAAAATGCATGAAAACATGTGGAAGAGATTGTAGCAAAATACATTTTTAGCATCTGCTTCATATGGTTGACATTGAATGACCAGTGTATTTGGAATAGTTTTATTACAAATTTAAGATTTTGAATTAGAAATAATGTTCCTGTGTACTATAATTTTCTCAAATACTTTGTAATATTTGCCTCTGAGATTGTTCATGCAACAGCCAACATATAAGCTTTAGTTCTTATTAGATAATAAATATCTTGGGAATGCTCATTTGATGGTTTTCGTGAATTCAATATTAGATGATTGTGCTGTGGGCATATAAAGTTTCTTTATTTTTAGTAAGATCTGTATTACTTTTATATAAATGCAGTATGCAATTTATATTTACTACTTCCAGATGCACTAAATTAGTGCTTTGGTGGTGATTCTCTGTAGAAAAAAACTTACTGTTTAAAAAAATCTCTAGAGATCATTATGCTTATTGATTCAAACTATTTAAGAGAATTTCTGTTCTTTTAACTTGGAGCCAGACTTTTCAAAATAATCATTAAGTGCTTACATGAGTATTTGTGCTGTGATTAAGTAGAAACTATCAGCAGAACTATAAACTCAAAGATTACCTGCAACCATTCTTTACATTGTTGAAATATGAATGTTTTATTAATTATCTCTACTGATAGATTTCTTAAGACCTTGAGTATCCTCAATATTAGGAAGAAATAAATCAACATAAGATTGTTTACTTAGAAGGAAATTGAATCTTGAGCCTATTGATTTCCAGACCTGAATCTCCATAGGAGATATATATGCTATCTCTTACTATGTTTGGTATTTATATGGTATGGAGGTTCTTTTTGGCTGAAATTAGGATATGAATTAAAAATTCAATTTAGCAAAGTTATTGGAAGACAACTGAGGCTCCTTTTTGCTGAAAATAATATTACTAATTTACTAACTTTTATGTGAATAGTTTTAGTTTACAGAGTCATCTCATCCATGATATTATATCCCTGGTCATCTCAGTAAGAGTACATGGTGGGAAAGTAAGACATTATGCACGCACACGAGGAGGAAGGAAACTGCGACCTGGAGAGGCTACATGAGTCATTTGATTTGATGATAATAAAGGATGTGACATCGCAACCTGCTCTTGGATTTTTAGTCTAAGACATTTGTTTGGGATGAGAATAGCTTAAAGAATATATTTTTAAACCTGTGATATGAAATATAAAGAAGTTGTTTTTTGGTGGCAGAAAATTTGTAATGGAGACATGATTTTTTTAGGTTCATATTGTAGTGACCTCAAAAAGTGTTAAGATTTACGTCGACTGCTATGAAATTATAGAAAAAGACATCAAGGAAGCTGGAAATATCACAACTGATGGTTATGAAATCCTTGGAAAACTACTTAAAGGGGAGAGGAAATCAGCCACAGTAAGTAACACATTTTCATTTTTCTTGGTGCCTTGCATTAATATTGAAATGGCATTTTTTAAGTAACAAGTGAATTTTTTTCTCAATAAGTTTTAAATTGTTAAATTTCTTGTTCAGATTGAAACATTGGAAAAGTTACATTAGAAAATATGCTACCAAAAGAATATAATAATGTACTTTATTTGTTTAAAATTTTATGTAGTTATTTTTCAAGTACAGTAATAATGTACTTTATTCCTTAAAGCGAAACAAGATGTCAAGGCAACAGAGAACATCATGTAGTCATCTTGAAACGGGATCAAATTGGACAGCACAACACTAATTGCTGCCAGGACAATCAGTGAAATCTAAAATAATTCTTTTTTTCTGGGGTTCTTCAAAGAGAGTAATTATTAATACAAATTTGTGCAGTCAGGACTTTAGCATCTGTGGACATTGGCCGTGACACCTCTGGAGCCCGTGCTTCCTCGCAGAGGCTGCGGCGCTCAGAGGGAGACCCACGCGGCGGAGCGGCTGGCTGACCGCATTCCTCACACGCTTCGCCGTCTCATTTTGAGGCAGGAGCATAACAGCGCTGTTTACAGTTCTGTCTAGTAACAAAATTTAAAACTGAGGGTTTCACTCTACCAGGTTAATTAAGTTCATATCAAATGTCGATCAATAATAACAGTACTCTGAGAACGAGTCTACTATCTTTGGCTTCTGTTATTTTAATCATATTTACTTTAGTTTTCTTCCATAGAAATTTCTTTTAGATGCAAAAGTGAAATTTTTATTCCACATGTAAACACAAGAGCAAGATATTTTATTGAACATTGGTTTTAGTATTTCAATAGAACAACAAAATCAGGGTTATAAAATAATGGTTATATCTAAACTGTCTTTTCCTTTTTGTTAAAAGAGCTCTATTTTTTAAATGTACAAAGATAGGAAATCTATACATTTGGCCCTCTGTATTTGTGGATTATGTATCCGTGGATTCAACTACCTGAGGGTTGAAAATAATTTTTAAAAATTCCAAAAAGCTGATCCCTAATCAATACAGTATGACAACTATTTGTATAGAATTTACATTGTATTCATGATTATAAGTAACCAACAGATGATTTAAAGTATACTGGAGGGTGTATGTAGGTTATGCACAAATACTAGTTCATTTTAAGTAAGTGACTTGAATGCCTTTGGGTTTCAGTATCTGTGGGTCGGGGTCGATGGGTTCCTGGAACCAAATCGTCTGCGAATACCAAGGGAGGACTCTATTGTACTGAAATAGTTAAGTTGAGGATAATCATAAAAATGATTAGTTAGGCCGAGGTAAGAATTTATGAGAAGAGGAACATTTGTTTCAGAATAAATGCAGAATGGCTTTTGAAATTTTACTTTTCTACAAGGGTAAACTCTCAAAAGTTGTTTAAATGTCTGTTGTTTTCAAATTCTTAATGAACTGAATCCTCAAATAAAGAAGTAATATTCACTGAAAAAAACCCTCAAGCATTTCATTTTAGGCAAGGAAGTGAATCAGAAGTGGGGATTTCACATGTGCTTTTGCGTTTCTGTGTCTTTCTCCTAGGCACAGGTTCTTATGTTCTTTCCTTATGAAGTAAGGATCACGTTACTCTCAAAGGGTTCCCACCCCTGAGACAGTTTACGTGAGAAGCTGGCAAAAGTTAAAATGCAGAAACGTTAATATAAAATGTTTCTCATGCATCTTTAGCTGATGTTGCTGTTGGTTGTTTGCAGTTCCAAATCCAGAATTTCGATATTGTCTGCAGTCCGGTGTGGACCAGTAGAGACAGATGCTGTGACATTCCCTCTAAGGTAAGTAAAGGGAATGAAATCTGTTGCAGTTTTAACAGTCCCCCCAGAGTAAGGGATGTGGATGCAGATGGTCTGGGAAAGGAAGTAGAACTCAGCAATTTCCAATCCAGGATGCATGCATCGTGTGCTTGCTAATGAGCTACCAGAGCTCAGGCCAGTGACCCCAACCTTGGAAGCCAGGAATGCACAAACACATCTGGAGATTCTCCCAGAGTGATTACACATAGTTAGAAAAGTCCTGCTGAGCCAGCATGTATGATACACCCGCTGGTTATAAATCCCTCCTATTGATTATAAAACCTCAGCATTTTACAGAATAAGTCATCACCCCTTTGGAGAGCTAAAGTCTGTGATGAACCATATTTATTTTTGAGATGATGCTTCATCCCCATAGTATCTGTGTAAGTGGTAATGGTTAAAAAGTTGGTGATGATGGATTTGAAGCATTTACCAAGCAATGAACTACATACATCCACACAACGAGTGTGCATTGTTTATTCAACAAATATTTATTGAGCACCTAGTATAAGCCAGACACTCTTCTGTGTGTTAGGGTCATAGCAATGAAAAGTAAGTATTCTAGTGAAATGCAAGGGGATAGAATTGACAAGTAGATATGTACTGTGTTATAGAGTGAAAAGTCCTAGGAGGAAAAAAATTAGAGTAAAGGGATACATAGCCAGTAAGTACCATCAGCCTTCAGTGATAAGGTGAGATTTAAGAAGAGACCAGACTGGAGTGAGGGAGATAATGATGTGGGTAATGGAGAAATTATAGCCAGAGAGAGCTATAAATTCAAAGTCCCTGAGGCACAAATGTGCCCTAAGTATCTGAGTAATATTAATGAGACTGGGGGGGGGGAGCAGAGTGAATGGGAGAGGGGAAGGTGGTAGGCAAAGTGATGGCCCAGGTGGTGGTGGGCTGGTTTGCAGAGTGTGTAAGGCCTTGTAGGTCATGGAAAGGATATTAGACTTTATTCTAAATGAAATGGGCACTGATATCTGAGATACTCAGCATTTCTCTAACACCAGACAAAATTTGATTAAATGGCCATTGGTCCCAGTGTTTTGTAAACATTTCTTTTTTATGTGAGATTTCCAAAGTAAGTTATAAAATAAAGATATAAACAAGCAAAGTAAGATTCAACATAAAACTACTTATAATGGTAACTAAAAATTATTTCTACAAGTTGGGAAACAGATTTCCTTGTGTAAATAGGATAAAAGGAGATAGAAAATGCAGTCATTTTTACCCTCAATTTGTTAGGTAACTATTCTTTTCAAAATTTCAGAGAGATGAAGCAAAATGCCCGGCATTTCCAAATGCCTGTACATGTACTCAGGACAGCGTTGGACCTCCGGGACCACCAGGCCCTGCTGTAAGACACTGAAACAGTGCTATTTTTTCTGATAAAACTTTGGCAGAACCATTCTTTTGCATAAAATGCTTCTAGCCATCCATGTTTTCTGGAGCAGAGCAAGCCATGTTGCAGACCACTTTTGTGGTCTGTTTTGAAATCTGAAATGGAGTAAATCAAGAAGAAAATGTGAACACAGTTCTCTAAACATGCAGGAATGAATGATAATGGTTTAGTATTCAAGAGCTTTTTTCTTAAGGATGTGAGTCTGGGTTTCCATCTATAATCACATATGAAAATTCCTTGCATCTCCTGAAAGTGTCTTTTATGTATGTTATGGAGCCACAGTTGAGTGATTGACCAGGAACAAGTTCTTTAGAACAAGGATATATGTACCTTATGTAGCGGACATCTCATGAGAACAACATATGAAGATGTTACATATGTGATGGTGTCACAAACTCTGGGTGAAAGTGCTGGGATATTGAATAACTTGTATGAGAAGATAGTGACTAGATTTATTCATGGGGGAAGGGGGGCCAAGAAAGTGCAAGGCAACACATTGAAGATTTCAGTGATATAACTCATTAATCAACGTGGAACCCTTTGATCTAGTCAATCCAATATCTGACCTGGACTGGTTTTGTGAAATGATAGTGAGACCTCTAGGTCCTATTGGCCTCTTTTAAGAAAATAGTTAACATAGGAACAGCTCAGAGATTCTCAGAATACCCAATTTTACTATACTTGTGTTATAGCAAATAATGTAAATTAATTTTAGGTTAATTACAAAGCAGCTGTCACTGGAATTACCATAATTTCTGTTAATAGTGATTTACCTGATTTATATTTATAATCATAAAATTATATCCCAGTATGACTTAGATGTTTTTGAGAAGAAGAGACTTTTTTCCTCTTATTGTAAGATAACATTATTGAATGTCATTATCGTATTTATTCTTTGTTCAGTAGTCTCTGAATCCCTGTTACTAAACTATGTATTCTGAGATTCTGAGAGTTTTAATATAATTTTCTTTTTGCATTTTATTTTCTCTGAAGAATGCAGTCAGATAATTCCAAAGCCAATTTATCTCTTTGCTGTATTTAGGTAATGCTTGCTTTTTCCAGTAAACCTCATTTTAAAATGAACTTCAAGATTTTCCCACAAGAAGAGTTCAGAATGTAAAAATGAGATACTTAGGATGTACAAAACTTTGAAATTCCCCCTTTCCACATATTTGTATAACGTAAAGTATTTATTGGGTTGGCCAAAAAGTTTGTTTTTTTCCCGTAAGATGGCTCTAGTGGCACTTCATTGTCTTTAACTTCATTCAGAACAATTTTGTTAGATTGTATTGTGACAGCTGTCATATCAGCGTCATACATTTAAAAAAAACTTATTAAAATTGGTGAATTTTTGTGTAGCCATTTAATATTGAAGATGGAAGAAAATATGCAATATTTTCAGCATATTATGCTTTATTATTTCAAGAAAGGTGAAAATGCAACCAAAATGCAAAACAAGATTTGTGCAGTGTATAGAGAAGGTGCTGTGACTGATTGAATGTGTTAAAAGTGGTTTGTGAAGTTTCATGCTGGAGATTTCTCACTGGACAATGCTCCATGGTCAACCATTTGAAGTTGATAGTGGTCAAGTTGAGACATTAATTGAGAACAATCAATGTTATACCATGGGGGAGATAGCCAAGATACTCAAAATATCCAAATCAATAAAGTCATTGGTGAAAATTAAAAAAAATGTGTCTTTTATTTTATGGAAAAGACTAAATGGACTTTTTGACCAACCTAATACTTCAGTATTTTGTCGTAGCTGCAGATTCGTTGATTGCTTGGAGAGTGCACTGCTTCTTGAAACAATTTTTAGATATCAACTTCTTTCTACTTTCCTTACATTCACCCTAAAATGTGCTCTTACTATGTATTTTAGGGAGGACCTGGCGCTAAAGGTCCCAGAGGTGAAAGAGGCATCAATGGGGCAATTGTGAGTACATTTTAAAGTGAATTTATATTTTCATCTATATGTTGAGGTCTGGTGGTCCAAATTTCTGCTAAGGGGGTATGTGACCTTGAGCAAGTTAGTTAATGTTTAGTGTGACAATATGATGAACTCTGTCTTCTCTTTGGGTGTCAAAATGATGGCTCAGAGAAAAGAAAAGTACAGGGCATCTCACTGCTGTAGGAGCTGCACATGGGAACGTGCAGAAGCAGCTGTGGGCTCTGCTGTAACACGGAAGCGGAGGGCTGATGGGGCTGTCAGTCAGAAGACCGCCGAGGGAGCAGTCCCGCTGGAGAGGGTCAGGAACAGTTCTGCTGCTTTGTTTTCTCCGGCTCAGAGAAAGAAAGAGCTCAGCAGACACATATGGGCTCCCTGGGGGGACCAGCCCCATTTACCAGTTTCACACTGGGTTTCCGTAAAACAACTCCAGCTTTTTACAGGGAATATATTATGAAGATAATGTATAGACGTGTCATAATATTGCTAATGAAAAGCTAACCCAGTTAGGAAAGGGTGAGGCTGGAGTGCTAACCCAGGTATGTCTTGACCACAAGTTTCTGCCTTTTTCACCCACATACATTGCAAAGGAGCTCCAACATAGAGTTTCTACTGGGGGGGGGGAAGCTGTTTTTTCCTTGCTTGACTCATATCTATGTAGGTTCCAGAAATAAGCCCAAGTCTAGGAGAAATCAGGACTAGCTTAAAATAAATCGAACCCAATAACATTTGAACTTTGATCTCATGAATATACATATCTGAATATTCAATTCAATACATTTTACTTCTTCAAAAAATTCACTTTTACTAGGACTTTTGGAAACTTAAATATTATTATAAATGTATTCCATTTTCCAATGGTTCTTATATGAAGAATTATATGGCTGGTGTCTCAGAGTTACAGAGGCTGTTTTTAGACTGGATGTTAGCGCTGGATGAACATGACATCACTGTGGTTGTTTCTTTCCTGTGTATTTCAGGGGCCCCCTGGCCCTCGTGGAGATGCAGGTCCTCCTGGCCCCCAGGGTCCTCCCGGCCCCCAGGGACCGAATGGACTCTCTATCCCAGGAGAGCAAGTAAGCACAAAGACTTTCTGTACTAAGTGAAGAGAGTAAATTGACATTGAGCGTAACTGGAACATGTTTTACTATATTTGCTAAATTCTAATGTTTTCTCTGAGAACTTTTAGTCATTGAGATAACTTCCTATGATGACTCTGATTTCATATATGTAAATAGTGTATGTAATACTATATAATTGTAGAAAAAGTCACTGCTATTTATTTGACCTAAACAATTTTTAAAAATAAATAATTAATATATTCCTCAACATCCTGAGAGCTTTGAAATTGCTTCCAGTCTGTGGGAGCCCTGGCATCCTTTTCAAATATTTATGACCTCAAGATAAGCTTTTGTTATTTATCTAGGTTATTACTTCTTTAGAAACTTTTAAGCAAAATCTTTACCTTTTGTTCAAATGCTAATCTGAAGTTACAAAAATGTTTTACCTTTTAAGGCTCATATGTTATCTAACTAACTTTTTTTCTATATCTTACGGTAAAACAAATACAATATATGTGCAAGAATACGATAATTGCATAGTTCTTAAATCTAAGTTTAAACTCCCTTTTAAAAGGACAAGTATCTTTTTGTCATTCAAGAAAATCTACATCAGACACAGCTAAAAATGAAACATGTAAAGGAATAGCGCTCTCTTGTTCAAGAGGGTTGAGTGCATCTAATACCTTTAGTTTGTCATGTCCAGAGGAAAGCTTTAGGTAAAACTTTTTTGACTATCACTGCGAAGTTTATCAATTGTAGTTAAAGATTTATTGATTTATTTCTAGAGAGAGGGGAAGGGAAGGAGAAAGAGAGGAAGAGAAACATTGATGGGCAAGATAAATATCCATCAGTTGCCTTTTGCATGCCCCTGAATCAGGGACCTGGCCCACAACCCAGGCATGTGCCCTGGCTAGGAATTGAACCAGCGGCCTTTCAATCCATGGAGCCACACCACTGAGCCACACCAGTCAGGGCTCAGTTTTAATTAATTCAGCTTTGCCTTTGTAACGAGTGTCTTTAAGCATGTTGTTATAAATAACAAATTATGTTATTTTCTTAGAACATTTTATTGACTATTAAAATGAGCACCAAATTAAATATATTAACTACAAAGTAGATTTTTTCTTCAAATTATATTTCTATGAAAATTTCTTACGTTAAGTAATGTTCTTTTAAAGCAGGTATATTATTCCATAATTATGTAAAATTATCCCATAACAGTAAGTGGTAATTATAATATGGCATTTGTAATTTAGAAGGTGAGCATCAGTACAAAAAATGATTTATTCATCTCCCTTCAAAAATATTTTTATGTTGGATTTGTGAAGTGATGGAGATTTCAGAGATGACTCATGCCTTCCGTTTTCACTTAATCTCTGTAAACGCCTGGGAACTGTTTTCCCACTGCTTTCTCTAGGGTCGCCAAGGGATGAAGGGTGAGGCCGGAGAGCCAGGACTTCCAGGCCGAGCAGTGAGTTGTTCTTGATGTTGCCTTTTCTTTCACTTGTCAAGTGTTATTTGAAAAGCCGCCTTTGTGGTGCCCCAGAAGGTGCGCCCAGGCCAGGCGGTAAAGCGGAAGCCTGGCTACGTCCTTCACGCTGTTTTCATTTCATATTCTCGTCTTCATTTTCAAGTTTGCGTTGGTCAGTTCAGGTACCTGCTGGATGACCAGGTATGTACTCTATGACTGACATTTTGCTTGGTTCTGGTTTTCTGTTTCTTTTCAGAGCCCCCTGAACTCTCTTTTTTTTAAAAAAATGTTTTGGGAGAAGAACAAGTATCTTTTCCCACACAGGAAGTATATCACAGTGTTTCACTTGTTTTTTCTTTTTGCGCAGGGAACCCCAGGACTACCTGGCCCACCAGGACCAATGGGACCTCCAGGAGATCGAGTATGTTTTCTTGGGAAAGCTAAAATTGTGCCAAAAATGATACCACATTGCTGCTGTTTATTAGAAACCTCCATGATTCATTTGCGTGGCTTGGAAGCAGAGTTCACGGATTTTGTGGGAGACTGAAAACTGTCATCAGTGCACTGGCCAGTGTCAGATCAGTCCCAAAGCCTATGCAGCTAAGTGGCAGGGACTTTAGGAGAGTCTCTGAAATTTTAATTTGGGAAGATGTCCTAATTTATCAGATTTGGAAAAAGAAGTCTATAAAAGGAATTTTAGCTGAATAGTAAGAGGTTTAAGAATTTTACCGAATTGTTTTAAATTCTAAAAGTAAAATCTTTGTAATGCGGCAGGTTTTATGTAACTGAGAGTGGTCTTCGTTTCTGGGCACTTGTTTTGAAGTCAGCACCTCGTCTGTACATCAAGACCACTTCTAGGTCTTGGTGATGGACAGACAACTGGCATTTAGTAAGGATTTTGCTCATTTGTGGGAGCTTTCAGCTTTGCTCTTGGCATTATGAAAACAGTGCAGGAAATCTAGCCTTTTCTAGGATAAGTAAACGAGAAGCACAGTAGACGTGGCCTCTGTGCTCTATTCAATATTAAGAAATACTTGGTTTCATAGAAAATCATGAATATTTTCATGTGATTTTAGAGTTGCTGAGAACAAAGAAACGAATGACTTCTCGGTGTCCTGTGGTTCAGACAACAGTCTGAGAGTATTCTGTATTCTGACTCATCAAAAGTTACAACATGACCTGCAGCAAGTCACAGAGGGCCAGCACTGTGATAGCTGCCACTAACAACATTGACTTGTTACCCTTAATATATCCCAGACACCACTGCACAGAAGAGGGAGGTCATTCAGATGCAGCAGAGAGTGGCCCAGACAATTCCAAATGGATGATGTGCCAATGGATTTTACTTGCTCCTATGTTTATTTTTGAGTTTGGGAAGAAGAGAGGTCAAAGAGAAAACAGTATTTTCTGGGAGTCTGGTACCAGGAGATGATATATGTCTATATATCTATAATCTATCTGTATATACACATGGGTGTAGACATATATATGCATTTTTATGACTTTTTTCACATTTTTATTGTTGTTCGAGTACAGTTATCTCCATTTTCCCCCCACCATTCCCCACCCACCCTAGCCATCCCCGTTCTCACCCTTGATCCTACCCCCTTTTGGCTTTGTTCATGTGTCCTTTATACATGTTCCTGACAACCCTTTCCCCCTTCCCCCCTATTATCCCCTCCCACCTCCCCTCTGGTTACTATCAGTTTGTTCTTAATTTTAATGCCTCTGGTTATATTTTGCCTGCTTGTTTGTTTTGCTGATTAGGTTCCACTTGTAGGCGAGATCATATGGTATTTGTCTTTCACTACCTGGCTTATTTCACTTAGCATAATGCTCTCCAGTTCCATCCATGCTATCGCAAAGGGTAGGAGCTCCTCTTTCTTTCTGCTGCGTAGTATTCCATTGTGTAAATGTACCACAGTTGGTTTTTTTTTATGACTCTTGAAACTGGAATTAGTTGTTTTGCATTCTTATTTCACAATAAAGGAAAATAGTAAGATTGCAAAAGTCAGTCTATTCAATTGGAAAACAAAACCCAAAATACCACAACCAAGAAGTGATGACGGATGACTCACTGCTGTTGCTACCACAGAAGCCTCAGTGGGCCCCTCAGGTCCACCCAGTATGGCTTCACACAGCCATGCTGGGTGCCACTGCAAGCACCATCCACGTGCTCATTTGGAACTGGCAGCCAGGCAGCCATCACCACTACCACTGCTTCTCTGAAAAATGAGGCAGTGGAAGGACTGTGGTTTTCCACTGTCAAATTTTAATTTGAGAATCCGGCTTTGTGCTGAGGCCACCCAGATCTCTCAGAGTGAGGAGGCTGTTCAGAGGAAAATCATTCTCCTCTTTTCCTCACAGTCTTACACACCTACCCACCCCTTAGTTTCCTACCACTAATACTGAAGGTACGGTGCTGATAGGACATTGTTTGGAAAGTTAGGCAGCCTTTGGGTATAGGCCTCTAAGTGGGGAAAAAAGGGAAGTAAAGGAAGAAACTTGAACCCTGTGGTGGAAGAGAAAAAACTCAGGAGAGCAAGCTCGAGGACCATGGTAGGGAAGAAAGATTGTTATCAGGGTGGAGTTGGTAGGAACAGATTGCATGTGTTGTCTTCAACATAGATGATTTTTTTTAAATGAGACACAGCTTTGGGGAGTGTTAGAAAGTAATGAAAAAAGCACATGTACAGGCTTCTAATACATGTGTATCTATGAAGACCACCACAGGTCTCCTCGGTGCCCCTCACATGGCGGGGGGGGGGGTGCGGATACAGCAATAACTGCTACAGCTTTGAAAATAGAGAGTACAGTTATAGCACAAAGTTCTGCAGATGCCTCAGTGGGTAGTCCTTTGGAAGATATCAGAATAAAATTCTCTTCACACCAACTTAAATGTGTGTTTCTACTGAAAGAAAATGGCTGACCAGACTTAAGTGTCCACTGTTAGGTGAATGGACAAAGAAAACGTGATATATAGAGAGCATAGAATGCTATTCAGTCTCCCCAAATAAGAAAGTCCTGTCATTTGCAACAACATGGATGAACCTGGAGGACATTATGCCGTGTGAAATAAGCTAAACACAAAAAGACAAATACCAAATAATCTCATTTATGTATGGAATTTAAAAAGGTGGAACTCAGGGGAGTAGAATGGTGGTTGCTGGGGAAGACAGGAGGGGCCATGGGAAAGTATTGGTGAAGGGTACACAGTTTCAGTTATGCAGAATGTGTTAAGTTCTGGAGAGCTAAAATATATAATTATGTAGCGACTATAGTTAATAATACTACATTTTTATTGAAATTTGTTAATAGAGTAGATCTTAAGTGTTTTCAGCATACTCAAAAATAACTACATGAAGAGATAGATATAATTAGGATTATGGTAATTGTCTTGATTTTGGTAATTATTTCACAATTTATATATAGATCAAAGCATCACCTTGTACACCACAAATAATGGACATTTTTTGTCAGTTATACCTCAGTAAAGATAGAAAAAAATGAAATGTTCTTAGGCTGACTGAAGGAGGATTATTAAGAAATACGATAGTGACCTAAAAAAGAGTGTTCTAGATAGCATTTGGAGAAATTCAGATGAAAGGAAATTCATTCAAACTGTTCAAACACTGACACTACCAGTGCATTTTTGTTTCTTAAGTGGCTTTCAGAAGCAGTGTTGATGTTACATCAGATGAACTTGGAGTCTGTTTTTAATTAAGCAGGCTTAGATCTTCCAGAAAACAATCTGAAATTTTTATCTCTATAATTTTCTGAAACAATTCAGGAATATGGATGAAATTATTGCTCATTCTCTGCAGAAAATGAGACAAAAATGTCCTTTGACAGAGGAATGCAACAACCATAAAAAATGATCTGACTCAGAAGTCCTAGGCTGGATTTCAGAGACCTGCTGTTGGGATGAATGCTAACTGAGTAGCAGGATGACTCATTCCAGGCAGAGGTCACTTGGCGCTGGATGGAGATGGGACTCCAGAGCCAAAGACTGGGCCTGCCTGGAGATGCGCTGTGCTCCTGGGACGGATCCCTCCTTCCCAGTCAACCAGACCCTGGTGTAGGCCTGGCCTTTTTTTGTGAGATGAGGCAAGAGGGGCCACTGAAAAAATTAACTGAGAGTTGAAGACTTCCTTTATTTCAAGTGGAGGGTGGTTAAGACACTGTTGCCTCTTTTGGGGGGGTGGAAGAAAGAAATTCATCAAGAGTGGAGACATCAATAGTCCGGCCCTGGCTGTGTGGCCGTTGCTTAGGGAATGAGACAGGGAGTTTTCTTATCAGGTGCTTGGCTTCTCCTTCCCCTTTTATGAGACCACATGCTTTTCTCAGCAACATTTCTTTCATCCCACTTTGATCCTTCCAGGGCCAGTTTGTGGCCATTGACTTTTCAGTAGAAAGGGTTAGTTTCCCTTTAGGCTTCTTCACACTCTTCACAAAAGCAAAAGCTAGTATCTTCAAGAAAGAAGTGCCTTTTTTTTGCAGAAGATTGGTTTGACTCAAAATAATTTTATTTATAATTACATAAATGAATGAGTATAGAAACTAATTGTTCGGTAAAAGGTATTGAGTTAAATTGGAAATTTTTTTATATTTTGTACATTTGTCTTTATATTGCAAGGTTACCTATAAATAGCAGATTGGGTTGAATCCTTCACCCTTCACACTTAACCTGTTTGGCGTTTTCCCTTTTCACTTCATCATTTTCTCACTAATGTAATTAATTTTATTTTTACAATAGGGCTTTACTGGAAAAGATGGTGCAATGGGACCCAGGGGTCCACCTGGGCCACCGGTAAGAACAGAACGGGTGACAGTGTTGTCCTGCTGCCCCCTTTTTGCTACAGAAGAGCCTGCTTGCCTGGCTTTTGAAGTGCATTCTGTCTGTGCTGTGGGTGCGCCATCGGGGTTGCTGTTTGCTTTTGTTTTCATAAATCAAAATGTGCTAGAAAAAAATAGATGTGTTAAAATTCAGGGATTTTTTTGTTTGTTTAATCAAGTTATATTTGAAAATAGGAAAATTCCTCCCCCCAAATTTGGCCACTTGCTGTTAGTGCCTTAGTTCACCCATCCCCACACTGAGTGGTGGAATTTTGTGACTGTACCGGTTACTTCCTGTCACACAATTTTAAGAATCTGTGGCCTATAACATTTGAATTTTAAGGACATTTGTTACTGAATGGTTATCAGTTTGTTCTCAGGAAGTAAGTTTTGCCGAAATAGGGTTTCTAATTAAGATCTTGGAGGAAAATACTGAAGCCAATGGTTTTGAAAGTGGCGTCTGTATACCTCCATCCAGGTGAGACCACAATTAAATTGTCTGAGATGATGGATGTTTTTCATATCTTATGGCAGGGTATGAGTATTCAATAGCATATGTTAAATAATCTCATTTATTTTTAATGTATATATTTTCAGGTTAAGGAGAGTTTAAATATATAGCAAACTTTCATTTGAAGTATTTACTATAGAGCTTAAAATTTGCTTAACTGATGAAGTAAAGAATTAATTATTTTACCAAATATGACTATTCCTATTTAAGGAAATTTTAGGCTTTAGAACATAATGTATTGGTTCGAAGATAGTCGAAATATTCTTTTAAAATATGACTAAATGTCTTGAAGCTGTGTTAAAAGAAAGATGAAGAAATTCTTGTGGTTTTGATGGGGTGACGGGTGCTACATGACAGAAGAGGATGAAGTGTGGAGGATGACCCAAAGAAAGAGTGAATTTCTAGGCGGAGGGTGCAGTTTTCAGCAGGCAGGGGAACACTCTGCCACGAGGATGGCCAATTTAGCAGAAAACTGGCTACCTTCGTAATTTCTTCCCCAGCCAAAATTTTCACTCCGGTCTTTTGTCGGGTTATGTAATGGTAATAAACTGAAAAACAGGAATTGCTTTCTGCAGATTCACTTTGTAACCAATTACTGGGATCACAGTGTGTGAATCGTAAAACTGATTATATATGTATATAATTTTCAAGTGGTCTAAAAATATATTTTAGAACTCTACAGTCAATAAAGATTGAATGGGAATTTTCAATATTTTTTCCTTTATGCTAACTTAAAATTCAGTTTATTCTTCTTTAATATGCGATTATATGCTGTTTCATTTCAAAGCTTTTAACCTGGCTGCTCTATTGGTTTACTTTCGATGGGAGTTTTCTTTCATCATGACATCCTCCTTCCTGATCTGTGTGTTGCAGGGAACCCCAGGCTCCCCGGGAGCCACAGGACCGAGTGGGAAACCCGGAAAGCCCGGAGACCATGGCAGACCAGTAAGTGGGTGGTTTGCATGTCTACAGTCGTCTCACTGTGGCCATCGATAATGAGCAAACTGAAAGGCTTTGGCCTTACATTATCTCTGCTGTAGTGTTTTGAAGCATTTGTTTAAACTATGCTAAACCTGTGGAATTAACTTGGTACTAGTTCTGAAGTTTTTCTCTGTGAGTTAGAATATTATAATATGAACCTGTGCTTGTAGGGTTTCTTCAAAAAGAGAAAGGGATTATGAGCCAAGATACATATTTCTACACTGCATAAACACTCCAAGCTGGGTCAGCAGAATGAGCCTTTATTTAGGAGTGGCGTGCTGCTTAATATAGAAAAGGGTCTGGTGAAGGCGGAGGCTGCTTCCCTGTGTAAGGAGCAGATGTTCGCCCTTTGGTAGTATCTATCCTCCGGCCAAGACACTTGCTCTTTTCTCTTCCCTTCAGGATGCTAAGATCATTAGTCCTAGAATTAAAAGGATTGATCTAATCTGCTATTTTACTTTTTTATATTGCCCAGTTCACATCCAGTGTAACATTTTTTTTTAAGAGAGGGAGAGAAGCATCAGTGTGTGAGAGATATCGGTTGCCTCTCACAAGGCCCCCAACTGGGGACTGAGCGGCAACCCAGGCATGTGTCCTGACTGGGAATTGAACTAGAAACCTTTCAGTTCATAGGCCAGCACTCAATCTACTGAGCCACACAAACCGGGGCTAGTATAATTTTCTTCTAGTCAGGTATCTTGGTTAAAATAGTCATTGAGATGGTATTGTGCATGCCTGGTATTTTCAAATGAGTATCTCCAAAACTGAAATATTAAATAAAATATCCACAATTGTATATAATGACTATTGGGCTTCATATACTTTTTAAGTTCCTTTATATTTTATATATGAAGTATGAATTTATCTTTTCTAAATAGATTTCTGAAATATAAAAAGTTATCTTAAAGATGATTGAGTCTAACCATTAGCTGTTGTCTGGATTAGACTTCTGTTTTCTGAAGTATTGTCCCAGTCACATAAACCCAAGTTTAAAAAAATTTTTAATGTCACACAAGTTAAAGGTAAAATCTTTGTGTGATGTGGGTCATCCTCTATGTTTACATAAAATGAAGTAAGCCACATAATATTTGAAGGACTCCTGATATATTTATAGTCCATGTGTATACTAGCACATGATGTTCTTACTCTATTTTCCTCAATGAATCATGGCAGAAACTTCACAAGGGCAGTTTAGAGTAAATAGAACTCTTCTACCTATTCAGAATTCCATTTTGTTTCACTATAACCAAATAAGAGTCTTACACAAGTCTGTCACCGATGGAACTAATGCTGCAGCTAGAAACCTGAAGGAAAGTTATGTCCTTGACTTGAAATAAAGATGATTTCTACAAACCCTATATACAAGAAGAATCTCAGAGTGATAGTAAATAAAAAAAACATCAGGAGCAATCTAAAAGTAGCAATAAATGTTAAAAAATATCTTTGAAATTTACAAAAGGTTTTAAACTCAATAATAGTAGTGTTTCCATTACAGTCTAGTACTTTTGACAAAGGGAAAGCCAAACTCCAGTTTCTCTTGTGATTGTAACTTGTAGTATTTATTTGGACTTTATGACCTCTTATTTCCTTCGATCATTCTTGTCCTCTAGGGTGGCAAACCACCTCTTCTTTTCCTCCTCTATTCTATCTTACCTTTCATTTCTATACCTGAACTAGCAGATGGGTGCAGAAGGCGTTAGCAGAGAGCCTGGCTCAGTGACTTTCAGCTTATGTCAGTGATGTTCAACCTTTTCTACCTCAGGGCACACATAAACTAATTACTAAAATTCTCTGGCACACCAAAAGTGTATTTTTCTTCTGACCTGGCAAAAATAGGTATAATTTTGATTCATTCATACTGAATGGCTATTGTTGTATTATCTGTTGTCATTTTTTCACTTGACAATTTAAGGGAAAAGAGGTAAGTGTCTCTGAATAATAGTCAGGTATTGAATGCTTTAAAAATTCTCACAGTGCACTGTTTGGAAATTGCTGGTTTATGTTATTAACTATTATAACCAGTTGATCTCTTCCTGCTAATTTACACCACCTGATTGTACTGTGGATGTTTTCAAGAACTGCTTGTGGAATATTTTTATTCATTTACTCAACACCTACCTATTTGTTAGTGCCTAAATGTGTGCTAGTCAATGTTTTAGGGTCTGGGGATACAACAGTAAATAAGGCAAAGCCCTTGACCTCAGCAAGATTCTAGTAGAGCATATAGACCAAAAGCATAAAAATAAGTATTTCTGGTGACGATGAGTGACATGAAGAAAACAAACAAAGTGAGGGCTGAGAGAGTAACTGTGGTGGTGGGGGGTGGCTGTTGTAGATACAGTAGTCAGCCTGTCGGAGGGGGTCTGAGGGAGCAAGCTCTTTGAAGGGCTGTGGGAAGAGGATTCCAGGAAGCGGGAACAGCATGAATAAAAGCTCCGAGTGAAGAATGACTGTGGTATATGAAAGGAACAGCGGAGAGGCCCAGATACCCAAAGTCAAGGAAGTAAAGGGAGAGAAATAGAAGATCATGTCTGATAGTTGAGCAGAGGTGATCAGGTGGACCATTTAGCCAATGACAAGGAATTCTTTTACTCCAAATGTCATAAGGCGCCCTTGGAGCCAAGAGGGACATTAGAATTTTTCTTTTACAAATATCACTCTGACTTCTTTGAGGAGAATAGACTCTAATGGGCCAATCCAGAAAGCAAAAAGACCAGTTGGAAGGATATTGGAGTAGTTCAGGCAAAAGTTTTGGAGGTTGTAAGAAGCAGTTTGGTTTGGGCTGTATTATTTAAACATCACATTTTTCAATGGCTTGGGTGTTCCTTCTGTGATAGCAGTTGGCAGCCTGGAAGAGCATGACTAAAAGGCACAAACTTCTTGCACTATAAGGAACACTTTTTCCACGATACTCTCCTGGCAGTGAAAGGCCTGGCAGAGCAGGGACAAATATTCTGAAGTTGTGTTTGGATGTGGAACCACCATTTGCATTGAGTTATTTAATAAGGGAGACATGTGATTACTTTTATCCCCAATGCACCAAAAAAAAATCATTGGAAGAAGTTAGAGGTATATGTTTAGCTAGGGAATTGACAAAAGCCCAACGGTTCTTACTAGAACTGAAATTAATGTTGGTGTCATGCAGACTCCACAATAACAAGCTGAGTTACCCAGCCATGGTGAGGTAAAAGAAAGGATCATTGTACCAAGTGCCATTTTCATATGTATTTCAGTGCCAGGCCATTCTGGTGAATGGCATCATAAAATGTATGCATAATACATAACTTCTAAATTGTTATCATAAAATCCACATCTCTGCACTCTTTTGGAGGTCATGTGCTTCAGAGACAGGGAGGTGGGGGTGGGAATCAGATTGCTATTAACAGACAAAGACAATGTGAGTAACATCAATGTAAATGTGATGTTACTAATTCATTGCTAATTCATCGAAAGCAGACCTTGCTCTCTTCATCATCATGTTTGTTCATGAATAATTTTAGATCATGTTTGTCACTTTCTAACATAAGAAATTCCTATATTTCAGGGTCCATCTGGATTGAAAGGAGAGAAAGGTGATAGAGTATGTATTTCTTGAAATTTGACTTACTTTTTTTTGTGTGTGTAAAACATTGACGTTTGAAACAATAGAAATAACCTGCTAATGATTCTCATTGATTTAATTAACAAGGGAGACATTGCTTCTCAGAACATGATGCGGGCAGTTGCAAGACAAGTCTGTGAACAATTGATAAGTGGTAAATTTCTTTATTTTTAATGTCTAAATAATTTTTAATTAATTACAGGAAAATGCACAGTTTGAGTCATAAAGTTTCTAAGATATATGTTTCTATTTCATGTTTGAGGATCTCTTATTTTTATACATTGTCAGTTTTGTAGCCAGTTAGGTGAGGCTCAGGCTATTTTAATGATTGTCATTAAGATAAAATAATAAGTCAAGGTAAAAGAAAGTCTGTTTTCCTTATATTTGGTGTGATACAAAAATCATGTTCTAAAAGGGGTTTTCAATTTTCACACTGGAGTTTTTAGAGATCTTCAGCTGAGTAAATATATGAAAGCAGCAAACACTGAATCTTTTAAATTAAGACCTTCCAGTTATTGTATGACTTTAAGGAAGTAGGCCCACCCAGGCTGATTTGGTCATAGAAAGTCCATTTCAGTGGGGACATTTTTATTGCCTCCTTATTTTTCAGACACTCTTTCTTCCTTGAGGAGGCCTATAAGTTTATTAATCAAGCTCAGTGGCTGAAAACCAAGAGTGGCCTTAAACTCAGGGTTCCCTCTTTTGGAAGTCGTAATCACTCTTTTGGGAAGTGCTATCGTGGGGAACACCTGCATTAGCATCGCCTGTGTTGCCTGTTAGGCACTAGGGTTCCTGGGCCAGACTCTAAACCTGGTGAATCATTGTCTTTGGAGATGCCACCCAGAAATCTTATTTTTCAATATATCCCACAGGTGAGGCCAATTTACACTAAATCCTGATTATTGTTGCCTTATGTACACACAAGAATGGTATAATTTCTTAATTTACAAAGGTTTCTTTTTGAGTGACATCATCTGGCAAACATCAGGTCTTTCTAGCAGAGCCACATTAAAATCTTACAACTTGTTCATGTTTATAGCAATAGTGTGGCCTACTTGGTCAGTAGTTAGTGGAAACAATCATTTATCAGAGATCATTTTGTCCTTGGTGATGGGAGAGTTTCATTTTACTTTTTTGGTCATAGTTAGAATGCTTTCTGGACAGGGGAGGAATAGACAGGGATTTCACTAGACAATTAAGAGAAAGCAGTTTCAGCTTCTCACCCCTCCCTAATTGATTGGGCTTCCTCTTAACAATTGTTATTTTTATTTATAGGTCAGATGAACAGATTCAATCAGATGCTGAATCAGATTCCAAATGACTACCACTCCAATCGTAACCAGCCGGGCCCACCTGGTCCCCCAGGTCCCCCAGGCAGCGCAGGAACCAGAGGAGAGCCAGGACCTGGGGGGCGACCGGGCTTCCCGGGCACACCGGGCATGCAGGGACCCCCAGGGGAACGAGGTAGGCACTTGTGGCTGCAGCATAAGCATGAAGGAAGGGGTCTGCAAGTATAAGGCCTAGGGGTGTTAAAGGTACGTGGGAGACTGAATTTGGCAAAGGACTTTAGTCTTGTTTGGACGGTCCCAGAGGAGTTGTGTATCTGTGAATCTGTCTTCTTCAGGTGGCCACCAGCTGTAGAACTCCGTAGCTGAGAAAACAGAAACATTCTGTTGGGAGATCTCAGTAAAGACAGTGCTAACTTCTGGTTGTTGTTGTTAAAGGGAAAAACTGCATCTTGGCAAACTAAACCAAGCACTAAAATCTTACTAACTGTGACTTAAAATTTGAGTTGGGCAGTAATGATGTTCTTGTATTTAAGCAGCCCTACAATTTTAGATCCAGTTTTTTTTGTTCTTTTATTCAGGGTCTGGCACTCTTCTTGTGTGTTTGTTTCATTTTAATTTTATGGTAGAGAAGTATAATTGGAGGAAAAGAAGGAAAATAGGATTATCTGATTACAGATGTTTCAGAACTCTGGAACCCGCTTTGGTCAAAGTAGCGCTTGACATTGTGGAGGATACTTAGATATTTCTATCATTCCGATGGTTTGGGTGCTATACTAATAGGGCTACTAAAAATAAGATTTTTTTCAATAAGTTTTAACTATTATTTTGATTTCTGTTCATAATAACTGTTCCTGAAAGTATATATTAGACGTTTGTTTTCTTCAAATAATTTTTTTCCCTGGTGTGTAGCCAGATTTGTTTCCTGGACATAAATCTGGAATTACACAAATACCTAGAAAGAATTTGCCTTAAAGAGTAAAATTCTGTGAAAAATTAGGGAAATCAATGACCCGAATCAAGTATTCTCAGTTGAAATGAAGACTACGCGTTTCCTGATAATTCCCCTCCTGTGCTTTATCTTTTTGTCCTTCCTTAGGTTTGCCCGGAGAGAAAGGCGAAAGGGGTATTGGGTCTCCAGGGGCTCGCGGGCCACCTGGCCCCCCAGGTAGGTCTGCTGGTACCTGAAGTAGTAGCTACCGAGAAAGCACAAAGCCCCCCAAGAGATCCACAACCTCATCAGATCAGCTTCAGGCATAGCGACGATCATAGAATATATTTTAGCAAGAAGTTCAACTTCTAAAAACCTCATTTTTATGTTCTCTTTGCTCAAAAAAATGTTTGAACGTGTTCTAGTAAGCATTTCCTGTGTCTTTAATATATGAGGATATGAATTTCAGTGACACTGAGGGTTGCTATTTTCTTTTTTATGGAATTCCTATTTGTTTTCTTTGGCCTCATAGCTTTTAAGAATGATGTCTCACTTCCTGTTTTTTCCAGTATTCTTTAAGATGTTGCTAGTAGACTGAAAAAATGTATTCTCACACAAAAGTCATCACAAGATTTCACTTACAGTTTCTTTATTGATGCTTTGGAAAGAGGAGTTATCTAGTTTTTTTTATGGATTTCTTTTGCAAGGTTGAAAAGGAATTTTTTCCATTATAATGTCCATAAGACCCTTGCAACTAAGGTCAACCCCAGTGGTTACATGTTTACATTTATTTTAGCCGTAAGTATCACTTGGTCCAGAAATAACACTGCTTCCATGGTCCAGAGGTATGGAGCAGGCACTTCCCTGTCTTAGTGGCAGTCTCATGGGCTAAGGTAGCCATTCGTCAATGGCTGTGACAATCTCTGTAACAGTGGGAGCGTCCAGAAAACTCACTGATATCTTTAGTTTCGATAATTCTCGCTAAGTCAATATTCTTTGAATAAAATTATTAAAGGAGTTGGATTTCTGGCATTAACTCTTAATGAATCACTGGTAAGAAAGTACCACACTTTGGTTCATATTGGTGATTTCATCAGGAAATATTTTCTTACCATACACTAGTGAGTTGTCTACTCTTAAGGCAGTGGAGGTACCAAAGTATTGTTGACTGCCTGAGAACATGTGTTTAACAAGAGGAGAAATATTTGTTTTAAACCCACACAGGTCCACAAGGAGAATCCAGAACGGGTCCGCCAGGGTCCACAGGTTCCCGAGGTCCCCCAGGACCCCCTGGTCGTCCTGGAAACTCAGGTATCCGAGGGCCCCCAGGTCCTCCTGGGTACTGTGACTCATCCCAGTGTGCCAGCATCCCATACAACGGGCAAGGCTATCCAGGTACGTGATTGCCAATGTTGGAACCCAAGTTCACCTGAATTAAGAACTGTTCTGGAAATGAAGTTCCCTAGGATTGAAGGAATATTGATTTGAGTATTTCTTGAAGATATCAGCTCTTCCAGTTATGTGTTTTGATTATGTGGTAATATTGTTCTCTCTCAAAGCATAAAACATTGTATCATTCTTATGAGTTGAATAATTATTTTTTCTCCCTTCCAATATTTCTGCGATTACCAAATCATATCATAAAGCTCTCCTTATTTCTCCTGCAAGTTCAAAGAATGCTACCAATTGACTTTTTTTTTCTCTCCCTAACCTAAAGGTTGGGAACAGTAATTTTTTAAATACAATTGTAGAATGCTAAGAATATATATATATTCTTATATTCCCAAAACAAACATATATATATATATGTTTGTATATGTATATATATATATATATATGTTTGTTTTGGGAATCTAACATGTAGGCATACTACAGGGTGGGGCAATAATAGGCTTGCAGTTGTGAGTATGTAAGTATGTAAAACAGTTTATTGTATTGTTATATATTAATTATTGTATTATTTTCCATATGAACTGTAAACCTGCTTGTGCCCCACCCTGTATTTGATAACACGATGCAGACTACTGAAAATAATTCACTGTCTCACACTGTCTGTAGATTAATATACATAAAATCTGGGATGTACTATTTTAAAGGATTTAGTAGTGAAATTCTAGTGTTTCAGTTCTCTTATGTCTGATTTCGGGCATGTGGGGACAGGGAACATGTGCCGATTGGAATAAAGTCATGCTGTGGCCAGCGGTGACCTTCTCATTAGTGCACCCTCAAGCATCTTGCAAGTTTTTTAAAATGATACTGCTGTTTGATATGGTTGGCTACTAGCAAATAGTGCATGAGTAGTTGAATACCTAAATATCTATATATCTATATATTTATGTGAATACTTATATATGGCCAAAAGTTATGAATCTTAATGCAAATTTCTCATGCAGCCCTATCACAAAATTATAATTAAATGCTTGACAAACTAAATTTAAATGATCTCTGCCTTATGGTATGTGTGAATAACTAGAAATATATGGATATATATATATATACTTTAACCATTACATACTTAGATGGATGTGTATATATATTTTTTGCATAGTAATTCAACTTTTAAAAACTATCATCTTTGACCTGTTTCAGGTTCCGGCTAACAAATTTTCTAAGTCGCCAGTGCTGCTTACAGTTTGAATACATGAAAATCCTGTTTCTGAGATGTTTGCGCACATGCTTATTAGGAAATGAGTCTGTATGGAAATCTCACCACAGATGTGGTGAACGAACCAGGTCAACATCACAAAGGAGGGTGGAGACTCTTTATACTAACTTGAATGAGACGAAAGCAGTGGTGTTAGTTTATAAGCCTGATGCATTTCAGCAATAATGCAGAAAAATCTTATTTTTAAAAAAAGCTCAAACACACAGCCATAAGGAGCCTGAGAAGAGAAAGAGGCTCATAATAAAACTACTAACCAGTGGAGATCATGCCATGTGGAGAAAAACAATTAACCTGGTTACAGAGACATGTCTTATGTAAATAATAAACTAATTGTGGCTTGTAAATGATGTGTATGTGATCCTGTCTGCTAAAATCACGTAACAATTCTACAGTAAGCTTCTGCATCAAAGCCTGCTGCTTGCTCTATGCCAGAATAACACCGAATGGAATTGCCTCATTTCTTGCTTGTTAGCAATGTGTCTGGTTCAGGGCATGTCTCATTATTACTCTTTTTTGTACATGTACTCTCATTTGGGTTTTGTAGCTGCAACTTTCAAACCAAAGTTCTATAGTCACTTTTTTTTCCTTCCTGTTTCGCTGTAGTCACTGGTGTTCCTCACCCACCAGCTGTAACTCAGTCTGTGGGAGAGACAGCCACAGACAATGTCATGTACTGTATATTACCTGGTGATAGTTGATTCGCACCTCTAGAGTTCAGTTTCTAGGAGCCAACAATACTTCCCTTCACCTCCTCATCTTTCCATACTGTTCTGTGTTGAGGAGTTTGACGTCATGAATAGGTACTTGGGGATTTGTGAAAATCCCACCTGGGTTCTGTGTTTACAGTTCTTTGGCCCAGTCTCTGACCCTTCCCAGGTATTTGTGCAATGATTGTATTTACTGCTGGATCGTTGAAGGTTAAAAAAACAAGTGCCATTACTTCATTTGAGCATCACCAAATTCTCTATGCAAATGGAAGTAATCAGAACATTGTAATTTATATATTTATAGTTATGAGATTGAGACTGGAGTGCCATCACCTCAGGTGATAGTTTAGCTTTTGCTGTGTCTGTACCTTCCAAATCATGCCATAACTGTAATGTTGAATCGGACAGAGCCATACGTGCCCGAGGGCGGGGCCTACCTGCCTGAGCGCGAGCCCTTCATCGTGCCGGTGGAGCCTGAGCGGACTGACGAGTACGAGGACTACGGTGCGGATGAACCAGTGGAAGAGCGTCCTCCCCACACGCGCTGGCGGCGCACCCTGGCCCGCAGTGTGGGGCAGTGAACCTGAACCCGCGCCCGGGGTGGCCTGGCTCGGGGGAGGTGTTGGGATTATCTTTTACAGGTCTGATAGAGCAATGTACGTCTTACCTGCGATGTTTCTTCCAGCGTCGCTTCTTCCAAGAGTCCCCCTTTTCACTGTAGAGAACCTGGTTTCTGCAGGAAGCCTAGCTAGCCGCACGTAGTCTGTAGACATCTCTGCTCTTGCCCTTGAAATGCTTGCAAAACACTGTTCACAAAAGCTGCAAGGAGAGAACATGCCTTGTGCCTTTACTTGGCACAGTGGGCAGCCTCGGTGAAACTCTTAGGTTAAGCCCTAAGTCCTGGAACCCAGAACTTCTGCCTATTTCGAGAGGGGAGTTTATCTTTCCTAATACTTATTTGCAATTCAATTACAGCACGATTCGAGTAATTGCCCCTCTAAAACCAAAAGGGAGGGAAAAGTCAACTCCATTGCAATTATTTTTCTTCTTCTTCTGTCTTCTGTTACCCATTATGGCATAGAATGCTCTTATACATCTCCTTTAACAACCACAAACCTTAAGTCATGTAGCTGAAATTATTGTATCAACTGGATACAATTTCATATTGCCTTAAACCTCCTTGTTTTAGACACACTAACATTTATGCCAAATTGCAGAATATTCTGCAGCGATGGAATTGCATGTTTGTGTTGTATATTTAGTATGAACTTTTTTTTTCCAGAACATGTTTCTTAGTTATCAAAAGCAGTTGGAAATGTTTGCAAGACTATGAACATAGAATTGCTGCTTTTATATTTTAACTGCAGATTGTGAATTTCACTGCCTTATATTATTTATTTCTGAAACAAAAGAGGCATTTTTCAATAAAACTACTGAAAATTTGACATGGTATGTTGTTTTTCTTTGAATAGCCTTTTGGACTCTTCAGGTGGTTGTTACAACAAACAACTTCATATCCTTGGATACGGTTACAAGTCCTGCTAATATATTAAATTATGCTAAATAACTTTAGATTTTTAATGATATGGTGAAGTCATAGAAAGAGAGTGTTGAGAACCTTAAAAAGCCACGCTTATTCCAAAGGCTTCATTAGAAATGTAGAGGATGTGTGGGTTGGTGGAAAAACAACTAGGTATCCTAGGAGACCCCAAACAACCAAATGACCTTTAACAACCCACATGACTTAGTATGCATTTAATCACTTTCCTATACCATATTTTACCTAATACCATGTTTAGTTGCAAAATGGAAAATTCCTTAATGGAAAATTTTGCATTTAGTGATACTTTCCTTTTGCACTTTTATGAATGCAAATAACATCATTCTAAACATCAAAGAAAACAATGTAAATGTTGGTTTGAAGAACCAACATCAACTGAAGAGAGAGAGGTAGTGATAGGAAATTTTCTGCAGAGCAAAACATTTGAGTTAAATACTTCCTAGAGACTGAGATCAGAAAAAATAGACAATAAATGAACGTACCATGTTCCTGAAGTTTCCAGTAGATGGCTAAATTTATAGCATTAATCTGTAATTTCCAATACGCACTTTTAAAATTAGAAGAGGCCACTGAGATCATCTCAGTCCAGTTCTTAGCCTTACACAGGAAGAAGCAGACTGAGCTAATTAGTATCAGGACAAGAACAAAATTCTAGGTCTTGTGGTTCTTTACCCTGTTTTATCATATCAGATTCCCTCATTTCCCTCATCTCCTTCTTCCTTTTGGGGAACACTTACTCTCTGGGTAGGAGCTTTCAGACCTCAAGGTTCTATGAAGTTATTTTAATTAATTTTGGATTCACTGGGGTTTCTGATGTTCCTTGATGAAGAGCCTCTGTATCAAGGCTGTGGAGATAGGTTCAGTTCATCGTCACTGACTCAGCTGAGTCCCAAAGCTGCATGGATTTAAGGCACGAAGGGGTTCCATCTTCTTTCATGGGCAGATGTGGGTTTGATGGTTGATGTTGGCAGTCACTACATCACTACCTTCTTGTCTGTGCTCGAGGGGGGTGGAGGGCCAAGCCATTTCCAACCAGGAGATAAGCACAAAAGTAATGACCAGCTGAGATACATGTGGTGACCTTCGTTTTCATAGTCTATATCCTTCGTAATTAAGTTTGCTGAATCTTGCATTAAAATAATTTTTGTAACTTCTGATTGAGTGCATAGTGACAAGTGATAGGGAGAAGAGATCAGATAGCCGGAGTTTAAAAACTAATGCCCCACAAAATCAAACCTGTAGGGGCTAGTTTATTTATTCAAACTTTCTTTGAGGGAATACAGAATAACTCAAAAACACTTTTTCAAGATCTTTAAATTTGGAAGCATTATAAGAAATTTATAATTTATATTTGAAGCTGGTGCTCTGATTTTTAAGAAACTACCTTGAAATAGCTGGGAAGATGTTACAACTTCTCATGAGGGCTACTGTAAAAAGGTTTCAACATTTCACAACAGAACTTAAATAAATCCTGAGTGTTCTTTATAGAATATTTTTGTACAATGGGATTAACAATTTAGCAAGTTTAACAGGGGTTTATACTTATAATTTCTCAGATTGGTGTCTACTTTTGAGTCTCTAAAGAAATATGCTGCCTGTGCAGTTGCTCAAAAATACATTTCATTTTTGGTACAAATAAGTTCAATGTAATTTTTCCTGAGTATTTATTATTCTATCCATTGCACTGTTTTTGACACATAAGATTGTTCTGTATTTGATTTTAGTTATAATTTCTCCATGATACATGGGGTTTTGATTATACTCTCCTTACATGGTCTGAGTGCCTTTATAAAGAGTAACCGCCCCTGCCAGACAGCTTAGCTGATTAGAGTCCTCCCGACTTGACTAGGTCGGGGGTTTGATCTCCAGTCTGGACACATGCAGCGAGCAACAAATGAATGTGTGGATGTGTGCAACACTAAACCAATGTCTGTATGTCTGTCTGTCTCTCTCTTTCTTCCTTCTTTTCTCTAAACAATCAATAAAAAATTTAAAAAAAAGGAGTAACCAGTTATACAAAGAATAGCTGTGGTAAATCTTTCATTTTCAAAGGCAATCTTTAAACTACAAATTAGTTTTGATCCCTTGGTCACCTCCGACTTGTGGTTAGGAAATGAATTTCGATGTGAACGTCTAAATGAACATTTATTAACTTTTCACTCTTGGATCCAGATGCTAAAGGCTATTGGGAAAAACTACATGGGCTTGCTTTCAGGGAATGACACGCATGCTGGTCACTTACAGAGCATGTCTCCATCCCTGATCTCTTGTTTTATCAGTATGTCCAACTAGGTAGGCCTCCTTGAGGTTCCACAAACACTTCAAAATGAACACATCTGGTATTTATTAGAATAGATTCAGCTGTGACTGACAGAAAGTCACAAAATAACAGTGGCTCGAACAGGTAGAAGTTTTTTTTTTTTTTTCATGTTTAAGAAGTCAAAGCCAAGGCTTTTTCTATCTTGCTGCTATGCTTTTTGTGATTTCCTTGGTCAAGTAAATTTATGGACCCAGATGGTCAATAGAGCTCTAGCTGTCATGTCTATTCCCAGGCAGGAAGCAAGGAGAGTGAAGAAAACTCCACCCCTCTTTTTAAGAACACCTCTTGGAAGTTGCAGAAACAACTTAAAACAACAAATTTATATTACGTACCATTAGCCAGATTTTGGTCATTTGGCTACCTCTAGCTATAAGTGTGGAATGCTATCTTTATTTTGAGTGGCCCTGTGCTCAACTAAACAGTCACTCCGTTACAGTCTAGGAGGAGAAATGAATACTAGGGGTCAATTCAAGTCTTTAGTCTTTGACAGAGTGTCCAAATATGAATATATCTCCCCATAAGTCTGATTTTCCTCCATTGTTCCCCCCTCACCAATCACAAAGTTCCTCATGTTAGAAATTTGAGAGCCATTGTAAACTCTTCCTACTTTCACTTCTTACAGCCAATCAGTGAAGTCTAGCTGATTGAGCTTCTACATGTACCTCCATCACCCTGTTGTTACTACTCAATTTCAGACTCTTAGGATTTCTTGTCATGGCTATAACAGTCTCTGAAATGGTCTCCTTTCTGGTAACCTTGGCCTCTCTCAAATAAGTTTTCCACACAGATGCCAGAGTGATTTATCTAAAATGCAAACCTGACCTTGTCATGTACCCCCCTTAACATTCTGCAGATGGTATGTAGATTTCTCTGCAAGTCGTGACTCCATCTGTCAATACCCTATTATTCCTTTATCACCAGCCTTTCATTGGACCATCTGGAATTTCTATTCCATTTTTTACAAACTTCCCCAAATCCTTAGCCTCTTCGATGAACAACCCCAGCACCTCCTGGCATTACCCTGAAGATACTGCAGAGTCTGTTTATGCTCCCAGAGCTGGTGGGTGGCGACCTGTCCTCCTTGCTCTGCACTCAGCACTGTTACCAGACCAACAATCCTTACCTCTCTAAAGAGCTTTTATTTGAGGCTTGTACCCAACTACCCAGCACTACCATTTATTCACCTCATGGTCACTTCACCCCATTCAGAAAAGACTTTAGTGCCTTTGTCTACCCAAATATCTATCATCGTCTAGGTATCTTAACCATTCATGTTGGATAACAAATATAACATTATCTCAGTTATTTGAACTTATTAAAGACTTTTTAAAATATCCTCACCAAGGGCATTTTTTCATTGCTTTTAGAGAGAGAGGGAGGGAAGGAGGGAGAGAGAGAGAGAAAAGAGAGAGAGAGAGATTAATGTGAAAGAGTAACACAGGTTGGCTGCCTCCCTACATGCCCAGTGGAAGATCGAATAGGCAACCTTTTTGTGTTTGGGATGATGCTCCCACCCACTGAGCCGCACTGGCCAGGGCAGACTTTTTCTTTTATTCAGCCTCAGTATTCAGTCTCTCCAAGTTTGTACCTTGGACTTGTGTCAAACTGTCATGACTTTGAG